TCGTCGGCGAGCTTTGATTCAGTCCTCCGATTACCAAAGGTGTTAGCTTCTTCCTCGTCCGATTCATTATTATGTGATTATGTAGAAAACATTTGACTGTTCCCGCTTCTTCTTCGAATCTACAATCGTTTTTGTTCTGAATTCGCCTCTATAAGTTAGTTTTGCTCTGATTTTGATTGTAAGATGAACCAGAAAGAAAAAAATCATTACTTTATGAGTTTTCTAGTCAAAAAAATCTGAATTTCAGTCTAGTGATTTAGTCATATCACTTTAAAATCAATGGATCGTTCATTCTTTGATTTTGTGTCAGGAAGAAGAAGAAATGATTGGGTTCTTTAAAGTAAAGGAAAAGCAAAGAGAACAAGCTCAGAATGCTAGCAGAGGTGGTGGGGCTTCTGTCAAGAAACAATCTGCTGGTGAACTTCGTCTTCACAAAGGTATATACTTTGATTGTTTTTGCATTTTGTTTCTTCTTCAAGCTTCAGTTTTTTTTTCAATCTTTGAATGTGTAGATATATCAGAGTTGAATCTTCCAAGCTCTTGTACGATATCATTTCCTAATGGAAAAGATGATTTGACGAACTTTGAAGTCTCCATTAAACCTGATGATGGTTACTACCAGTTAAGTTAGAGCCTTCTTTCCATGCTCACTCTAAGAACGATTAGGAAACTCATTTGTTTCTTGTGGAATTATACAGCAATGGTACATTTACATCCTGTTTTTCTGTGTCTTCTGTGTATCCTCACGAAGCTCCAAAAGTTACATGCAAAACCAAGGTTGGATTATGAATATGATCCTCTTCTCTTCTGCTTTGCTTGTAGGTAGCTCCATCTTTACATCCTGTTTTTCTCCTTATTTAGGTTTATCATCCTAATATCGATTTGGAAGGAAACGTTTGCCTCAACATCTTACGTGAAGACTGGAAACCTGTTCTTAGCATTAACACTGTTATCTATGGTCTCTTCCATCTTTTCACGGTAAAATAAATAATCAGCCTGAGAGTTACAGTGTTTGTGTTATTTGGTTTACTTAAACTCAGTGTTGTGTATTCACACAGGAGCCCAACTCTGAAGATCCTTTGAACCATGACGCTGCTCAAGTTTTAAGAGACAATCCAAAGTTGTTTGAGACTTATGTCCGGAGAGCCATGACTGGTGGCTATGTTGGTCAGACGTTTTTTCCGCGCTGTATCTAACAAAAGCTCTGGTTCGTTGTTCTTCAAGCAAAAAGATAAGCAAACTTTCCTGAAAACGAAATGCAAAGGCGTGTAACAGAGACAACATAGCCCAAAGGGAACAGCCATCATAGACAAAATCCCCTTGGAGAGAGCCTCAGCTTCACGCACAGACGAACCTTTCAAAGGATCAATACCTTTCGAGTCATACCCAAACATCTTCTCAGACAGGTTTAATGTGTTGATCTTTCTCGACATAAAAAAAGCTTTTGAAAGTTTAGTACTACAACTCATATTTTCTTGTCTATCATCAACACTACTACTGTCTTTCTAACACTTTAGTTTCACTCTTGATATGTCTATATATTCCTAAGAACTCCTAATTAAATAACACCATTGCACACACTTTTTTATTAGAATCCTTAACTATTTAAAAAAAACAAAAAAATTACTTTTTTAATCCTAAGGACTCTATCCACGAATCCACCGTTGCGGATGCCCTTAGCGCCCTATTTCAAATTTACGACAGTTTAGCTAGAGTGTGAAAAGAAAAAATTAAGTCAGCACAAGGCCCTCTTCCCATTTGGCCGGGCCTGGGTGTTCCAACTCATGTTTTCTCATTAGCAAGAGTACATTTGAGATAGGTTTGGTTTAGTAACCATGAGATGCACTTCATCATCTTCCCCACTAATGTTCAATAATGCATCTGTTTACATAGATCATCTTTGAGAGTTCCAAGCTTGACTCCATATTTGCATATCACAACCACAATTATAGAGAAAATTTGGAGAAGCCACGGAAAAACGAAGGATGCCGCGTAGTAAGAACACCGGACGACAGCTATTTATTAAAAAGAAATATATAAATTAATCTCTTATATTTGTATTTGGATAGCAACATATCATCAATATCAGCTGAAACTAGTAGCTACATATCATTTTCATGACATATAAATATTACAACTACCCTAAATTAAATTAAAATAAGAAATAGATAGATATGGAACCTGTTCAGTGATCTACAGAGACATTTTATTTAGTACTGTGAGATGATAACTGTATATCACATGTACGATGTCTAGTTCAACGCATTTCCCCTTTTTTGTAAGTTAAGATATGGGTGTCGTGTGGGGTTTGACTTGAGAAAACACCCTTCAAACTTCTGAGCCCATACTCGATATCCCCACCTTAACGCAGATAGATTTTATGACTTCAATATTATTGAGCTACCGCTGACTTATTAGAAACTGACCATACAAAACCATTATCGTAGCTTCTTAGATACTATAAAATAAAATCCATAATATGCTTCACTTCCTGGTCAAAACCATAAGAGTTTAGGATTGTAAGTGCATACGAGAGAAGACGCACAGCACTTAATAATGATGTTTAACAATCATTAGTCTGTTAACTTCATTAAGAAAATTACACGGCCTTGAGAACCTTTAGTTTTATGTCTCGTTTCCGATCTATTTTGAACTTATAATGAGATCTTTATTTTTTATTTTTATTATTTGAAAGAAAGTTATGAGATCTTTAATATATGAGATAGTGATCTGGAACCAAAACTTTCACCTTGTGATAGGCATTCATCTTTGATCTCTGAAGCTTGGCCAAACTGTTACAATCTCTCTAGCTTCAAAAACTTGTTCATCTTAACCTTTGATATCTTAAATTTATATCAGTTTCATATCATGTCCATACATTCCCTTTCTAAGTCTTTGTTTCCTGATATTATCTAAGTCATGCCTCATTTGTTCAAAAAAAAAAAAAAATCTAAGTCATGCCTCAATGATATTAATTAGTTTTTCACAAATATTCCAAACGTAAATAAAATCAGCAACAATTATTTTTTACTAACCATAATCTTCAGATTTCCAGTCATGGTATTTATGATTTGATTGAACCAAAAGGCAAAGGCATTGGTCTTATGACATATACTTTTCACAATTTTATTAGAGATCAATGAATGTGAATCCACAAAGTTTTATGAATTTCCCAGTTACATCTCCTCTAAACCCTTGCTAGGCTCCAAATATTGTCCCATTTCTTAAAACGAGTATAGGTTTTATTGATGACGCTTAAAACAGTTTAGGTACACACACTTACAAAGAAGGTTAAATGTTCAACTTTTGTTGATGAAAGAGAGAGACAAATGTGAAATGAAAAGATGGGTTAATGGGCTGATATGTGACCCAAATGATTGGAAACTCGCACAAAAGGACGTCGTGGACAACAAAAGTAACGAACACTAAACCTTCCTTCCCTCCCTGTTTCCAACCGAACTCTCTGGCTCTGCTTTTTTTTTCTCTCTCTCAGCGACGTGAGTTGTCTCTGCCTCTGTTTCATTCTTTTAGCTTGTGTTTTGCTTGCAGACCAACCCTGTCTTCTGGAACTCACTGACTTTACTTCTAATGGGGTTTCTTGGGATTGTTTGGAGCAACTTCAGAGATCATGGACCGGCAAATTGACTTTCGTTTTTCTTGCAGCTCCTAAGTTAGTAGCCATCGACTTTGATTCCTTGATGATGAATCAGCTAATTCTATTATTTCACCGGTAACAGATGATATCAAAGATGATCATATCAGCTCACATGTAAGTCCACGTTTTTCTCTGAGTCTCTGTCCAGTGACCACAGCCTTGAATTGGATTAGAACAAGATCAAAAGATATGTTCAGACGTTGGATTTCTCAGAAGGATTAACTATCAGTCATTATAGAACATGTTGATTTGTTGAACTTTGTAAAAATCATTGTGACTAAGGACAGGACTCCATATGTGTTTTGAATAACATGTGTTTTTATGTTTGAAACTATTTTATTATATTATTAAATATAGAATTCGTATTTTTTTTTAACATGGTCTTAATTAAATGTGAGATGGCGACTTATTATCGAAAATCAATAACATATTATAATTTGTTGTTTCATATTTATTGAGACATGAGGTTTATTCAAAAGATTTTTTCTTTTCCAAATGGTAACGTTTAAGTATAGTTGATTATTGATTTTTTTAAAAGAAGTGTTACAATATCTTAATGTTATTAAAGTTTCTTTTGCTAGCTATCTATTTATAGTTACTTGATTTGAACTATACATTTATCACTAATGATAATATTGCTATGTATATATAGTATTTAGGTTAATAAATGTATTCAACTTCGTGAGATTACGCATGTCAACATCACAGTGATGCGTGCTACGTCAACAAGTGGATTCCAATCTGGCAGTGGATGTGTCTCTATGCATTTATCACTCATCTCGCTCTAATTTTTTTTTTTATATAAGCTTTTTCACTAAATCATCTAGCACAGCTAATAAAAGTGAAAACATTTTATTCTTAATTATGTTGTGAAGTTAACGATCAAATAAAATTACATTATTTTATATTTATTCTGGTTATTATTTAAACAACAGAATACTCATACTCACTATTACACTCAAATCTGTGAAAGTATTTAACATGATTACCAAAAAAAATCTATGAAAGTAACGTTTTCTCACTTTTTCATTTTTCTAACTTTCGCTTTCTTTCATTTACTTCAAAAGTAAGTCATGATTTCAGGAAAAAAAAAAAGGTTAAGAGGAATCGAGAGGACTCTGTGAATACTCTCATATATGGATATCCATACTATAAATATATATGAGATGTTTAGTTTCAACTAAAACCAATTGTAAACGCTAGAAGCATATTTTCCCAAGGTTTCTCTCTTTCTCCTCATATTTCTAGTTCATTATTTTCAATTTGAATCCAGTTAAAAATTGAATACCTAATGTTTTGATGTTATTCAAATTCAGAATCTTAATATATAAATGCAATTTTGTTAACTCAAGCCTCCTTTTCTTTCAGGCGTATATAGCAGTAATTAATGATGCTTTTAATGATCGTTGTGATCCTTGTCTGCCTTGTAAGCTACGTTTACCGATCGTTGAAGCCTCCACCACCGCGAAAATGCGGGGTTCCTCACGGTCCTCCGGTTACTTCTCCGAGAATCAAGCTCAGTGATGGAAGATATCTGGCTTATAGAGAATCTGGCGTTGATCGAGCCAGTGCTAACTACAAGATCATCGTCGTTCATGGATTCAATAGCTCTACAGACATGGAATTCCCCATCTCTAAGGTACTCCTGCATTGATCTGATCTGCATTTTGATTCTCTTGCATGTCAGACATTTTTCGCAATTTAATAACTATAATCTAGCAGCATTTAGTTTTACCTTTACATGTCACGAGGCATGAACACTTGTTTTTTTCTTTTGAATAAATACTATATTTTTTTTTTTTTTTCTCAACTGATTCCACTTTTTGGTATTTAAAGCAAGATCCATTTATTTTAAAATCTTGAAAGGGTTTTTAATGTGATTTTAAGACAAGAAAACATTTCGCATGTAAATACAAAAATAAAAGAAATTTTGTGAGAAACTGGATACTAGAAAGTGACTTTTCGCGTGCTACATGTGAACTCAAACGCAATCGCAACCTAAATTGCAATTAATAAAAGTTTTATTTGTGTTTTTTTTTTGGCAGGATCTTAGAGCATCATTATCCCTAAACCCCTTAAAGGGTCTCTTAATTATTTTTTAATAGTTTTTAAAGTGTAAAAGTGAGTTAAGAGACTTAGAAAGAGATTTGAACATTTAGATGGTTTATTGCAAGTCTCTTAATTATAGGTTCTTAAAACACATTCAACACTTCCCTATTTAGCAATTACACTTTTTGTTCTCTATCTAGCAATGTCAATGAACATGAGTGTGACATGCTTGAACAAACAAAAAAGTTTCTTATTTTTTTCTTACCTGAACAAGTAAGTTCCTGTTCGTTTGTCTTGCAGTGAGTGTCAAAGCTTCTTAGCGTCAGACCATCTGTCAATGTCTTCTTGTGGAGGTTTAGTAGCATCTTCTCCTTGAGCGTTCTTCATATAGTTGATGGCTGTGGAGTAATAGTGTCTATTCAATCCATGAATCAAAGCATGCATAGTAGTATAAGTATAAGAGACATCCAACTTCAAGAAAACAGGAAACCACGTTCGTTGCATAATGTGATCCATCACCTGGATCGATGGTTTGTTCAGGTTCCCAAGGTTGGACGTTGTCCGACGAGGTTCTTGCCCAAGCGCATAATGGTCTGCGGGTTTATCGAGCATAAAGCATCAACGGAACAGCTACAGCTCGCTGGTTCAAAGCTTCAAAACTCTACAAAAGCACACATATGTTCAAGAATGAATATGCATAGTCGAATCCAAACTATATATACAAATTCTACAATGGAAACCCGAATCCAAACTATATATACAAATTCTACAATGGAAACCTAATCAGAGAAAGGCAAGAAATAATAGTAGATTTGGTGTAAAAAAGAGTGAGACTTTATTTATACCTTCCAGTTTGTTTAAGCATATTAGTCTGGAAAACATGATCAACGGCTTCATCACTAACATCAGTCCCACTCTGAGGCATGGCGAAAACATCCAAAAACTCTCCCAGCAAGTACCTTCACCATGATTCTCTGAATGTTATTTCTAGAGTATTTGAGTTGGTAATAATCAAGCCAGTTCTGCAGCTTCTTCTTCTTATCCACCAAATCAGCAAGCTTGCTTGCATTGCATACAACCTATATATTGAATTTTAAGATGTGAGCTTAATAATGCTTACATTGTCAAGCACAACTCCTGGATTCATTCCAAATCTTTTAGCAATTGGGAAAATTCAATCAGGGCGGCTACAAAATTCAGGGTGAAGGAAAAAAATCATGAAATATAAACCACCTAATGAAGCTACAAGAACTGAACTATAAGATTTTCTCTAAGATGTCAAGGATACAAGGTTCCTTCAGTGTCAATGTAAGCCACTTTTCCACTTTATCACAAGCAACCTCCAATCCGTTTCCTGCACGAACAAGTATTGACATATATTGAACGAACAAGTATACCAACAGAGTTTGCAAATTGCAATTCTTGTAGATTATTGTATTCAATGCCTTTGCTCTGAATATGAACAAAAGCAAACAAATTGTTTGGGAGAAATAGTAACTAGTATTAAGCATGGTTTTATAATGCATAAAAAAAAGAGAGATTAGATTATCATTAGGATCAAAGAAGGAAACTTGCTTGACTTTTTTCTATCAGGAAGAGACTTCTGGAAAGTTTCTATCCCTTTCTCCTAACATCATTCGTCAAAGAGAGAAATCAATTACAAAACAACACTGAAAGCATTGCAGAACACTAGATAAACCGTCGGATGATTCTTTGGCGGATGAAATCGACGACAGAGAAATATAACCGGCCGATATCAGCTTTCCTCTAATCGAAGATGACAAGATAGCCTCGACTTCTCCATGATCGTCGTCGAGAGTGAAGCGGAGAACGACAGGGTTGAACCACCGCTCGTCTCTCTCTTCTCATTTTGCCTACACGTGTTCTCAAATACCGTCTCTTGTGTGTAGTCGAATAAGCGACGCCTCTTGTGTTTATTAGTGTTTTTGATTTATTTTTAATACATAATTAACATAAGAAACCTCCTAAATACCAGCGATAATGGTGCTCTTATTGAAGAGCAAGGGATATACTTTCTGTTTTTCGATAGAGCAGGATATGGAGAAAGTGATCCACACCCTTCACGCACAGTCAAAAGTGAAGCATACGATATTCAAGAACTTGCCGATACACTCAAGATTGGACCAAAATTCTACGTTCTCGGGGTATCACTCGGTGCTTACTCAGTTTATAGCTGCCTCAAATACATTCCACACCGGTAAAAACCTGAATTTACTGTATTTATTTTTATTTTTATCTCATATATTTTATTTCTTTTTGGTGATTTATAGACTAGCTGGAGCAGTCTTAGTGGTTCCGTTTGTGAGCTATTGGTGGACTAAAGTGCCTCAACACATATTGAGTAAAGCGTTTAAGCTAATGCCAAAAAAAGACCAGTGGACCTATAGAGTTGCTCATTATGTTCCTTGGCTCTTGTATTGGTGGTTGACCCAAAAGTTATTTACTTCTTCGAGTATAATCTCTGAGAGAAGTGCGCTATGCAACGACAAAGATTTGGTCATCCTAAAAAGGAAGTTGGAGAATCCGAATCCTCGCATGGTAAGTTTAGACCTCTTTTGCATTTTTATGAAAATGAGAGAGCTAATTGAAAACAGGTTGTTCTGTGACCTAGTTTCAATAAATATGGTTCAAATTTATAGTTAACACATGAAATAGAGTTCATGGCGAGATATTATAAATTTAATACAATTGGCTTGTCTGCATGCAAAATTTAGGGTTTAAAACAATAATTCCCTTCTGATGCGGAAATTCACTTGGCTCTACTTGCTATTCATCCGGACAAAGCTCCTGGTCCGGATGGATTCTCAGCAAGTTTCTTCCAAGCAAACTGGAGCACAGTTGGACCAGACTTTGTATCTGAGATTCAGGAATTCTTCACCTCCGGTGTAATGCCGAGATCTTTAAATCATACCCATGTCAGGCTTATCCCAAAGAATACTGATGCAAAAGCAGTTGCAGATTATAGACCAATTGCCTTATGCAACGTCTACTACAAGATAATCTCCAAACTGCTTGCAAACAGGCTCAAAATTCTGCTACCAGACCTGGTATCGGAAAACCAGTCTGCCTTCGTTCAAGGTAGAGCTATAGCTGACAATATACTCATATCCCACGAAGTCCTTCACTTTTTAAAGACTTCATCAGCATCCAAGAGGTGCTCCATGGCAGTTAAAACTGATATGAGTAAGGCATATGATCGCCTAGAATGGGATTTTATTGAAGAGGTTATGATACAGTTGGGGTTCCATGCCATTTGTGTGCAATGGATTATGCAGTGCGTGAAAACGGTATCTTACTCTTTCCTTATAAATGAGTCTGCTCAAGGCTGGGTTAAACCTCAAAGAGGAATCAGGCAAGGAGACCCCCTCTCCCCATACATTTTCATTCTTTGCAGCGAAGTTCTCTCCGGGTTATGTCGGAAAGCCCAGATTGAGAGAAAGATGCAGGGTATCCGAGTGGCTACAAACTGTCCAAGAGTTAACCACCTGCTATTTGCAGATGATACTCTCTTTTTCTGCAGAACAAATAAACGGAGTATCTCCACCCTTCAGGCCATTCTTCACCGATATGAGACAGCATCAGGCCAAAAGATTAACCACCTGAAATCGGGTATCACCTTCTCTAGCAGGACACCGCAAGAATTAAAGGAGAAAATAAAGGGCTTATTGCAAATAGAAAAGGAAGGAGGATCCGGAAAGTATTTAGGGCTTCCTGAACATTTTGGGAGAAAAAAGAAAGACCTCTTCACTTCAATAGTAGATAAGATCAGGCAAAGAGCAAAAGGCTGGAACAACCGTTTTCTATCTTCTGCTGGGAAAATGACACTTCTGAAGAGCGTTTTGGCACCTATTCCTAACCATGCGATGCAATGTTTTAAACTTCCCCTATCCCTATGTAAAAGAATCCAAACAGTGTTAACTAGATTCCTATGGGACTCTAACTCGGGAGCAAGGAAAACATCATGGGTGTCGTGGGACACCATGACCAAAGCTAAAAAAGACGGAGGGCTGGGATTTAAAGATATTCAATGCTTCAACGATGCACTCTTAGCAAAGCTCAGCTGGCGCATCCTCGAGTCACCAACATGCCTGCTGGCCCGTATACTTAAAGGAAAATACTTCCATGACCAGGAGTTTTTAGAGGTCTCAGCGCCATCGAACTGCTCCCATGGTTGGAAAGGAATACTCATCGGGAGAGACCTCCTAAAAGAACACCTAGGGTGGGCCATTGGTAATGGAGAAAAGGTTCTTGCTTGGGAAGATGCTTGGCTCTCAGGGCTAATGGCAGAACGACCTATGGGACCGGCCCCAGAGCAAGACTTGAAGCTAAAAGTATCTGATCTTATCTCAACTGATACAAAGGAATGGGACGCAGAGAAAGTGGAGAGACATTTCCCAATTCTGAGAGAGAGGATCCTAAGTATCAAAGCGAGTAAATGGGGAGGTGTGGATAAAAGAATATGGCTCAGACACAACAAAGGCTCGTACACTGCAAAGACAGGTTATATTGCAGCTGTAGAGAAACGTCTAAACCCTCTAGAACAGAACCCAAGTTCGGATCAAGACTGGATAAAGCAGGTATGGAAAATTTCTACCTCGCCTAAAATCCAAAACTTCTTATGGAAGATCAAACATCGTGCTCTCCCTGTTGGTGCTATACTAGAAGCAAGGAAAATATTTACAGGAACTAAATGTGTGCGCTGTGGTGAACCTGAAAATATTTCCCATCTGTTCTTTCTATGCGCTTATGCAAAAAAGGTATGGGATTTGGTACCTTTCTCTGGCGGATTTACTCCTGAGCCACTGAACAATTTCGATACTGAATGGGTTAGACTCCTCGCCAAAGTTGTCTTGCCTCCCATAGGACTTGGGAAGGTTCCCCTTTCTCCCTGGATTCTATGGGCCCTTTGGACTGCAAGAAACCAATTAATGTTTCAGGGAAGAGCTTTCTCTGAGGAGGAAACAACTATAAAAGCTATATGTGATGCAAAGGAATGGAACGAAGCTCAGAAACCTCAAGTACCTGCATCAAATAATCTGACACAGCAGACCCGCACATCAACCCCAGACTTCACCTGCAAATCGGACGCGGCTTGGAAGAAGGAGCTACATGCAGCGGGTCTGGCCTGGAGTTTCTACAGTACTCACAAAGAGCGAATCAGCTCTCACAATCAGTTAACTGCGCATGTGACCTCGCCTCTTATGGCTGAAGGGTTAGCTTTACGCGCAGCGATGGAACAAGCCATCAATCTTCAGATGATCAGTATGGCCTTCGAATCCGACTCTCTCCAATTGGTGACAGCAATTGCAGAAGGATCGAACCTCCAAGACCTCCACGGCATCCTCTCTGATATCTATCTCTTATCTCGATCTTTTGTGTTTGTCGAATTTCGTTTCTGTCGCCGAGAGTTCCTCTGTTTTGAGGACTCGATCGCAAAGAAAACACTTGCAAGCTTTGTAATCTCCGGTTCAAACCGGGTTCCGGTTTAATCTAATATAATCGGTTGTGAACAAAAAAAAAAAAAAAAAACAATAATTCCCTAAATTCAATGGGCTAAATTGAAAATAAAGTTTGGTTCCATATTGGTTTAGTTTGCAGTGTCTTTTATATTTAGCGTTCTTGGAGTTTGACCTCGTATTTAATTTTGATCTATTTTCGACCCCAGAAAAAAAACAGGCAACAAGGAGACCATGAATGTCTACACCGGGACATGATTGCTGGATTTGCAACATGGGAGTTCGACCCAACTGAACTGGAAAATCCGTTCAGGGAAGGTGTAGGATCAGTCCACATGTGGCAAGGGACCGAAGACAGGATTATTCCGAGCGAACTTAACCAATATGTATCAAAGAAGCTTCCATGGATCAAGTACCACGAACTCTCAGGCTATGGACATCTTCTACACGCCGAGGAGCAGATTTGTGAAGACATTATAAAGGCGCTTCTTGTCGAGTGATGATCTATCTAGACAAAGATGTCTTGACGTTATTCACTATTGTTGAAGGTCTTATTTAAAATATATGAATGACTAGAGGGTTTTATCTGATGAGTAACAACTAAACCAAACAAAATAATGTTGAAATATGAGTTTACTAATTCCGTCTAGTAAGCAAAGTTTAAATAATTAAATGAGATGCTAAAACTAAACCAAGCAAAATAAGATAAATTTTACTATTAAACAGATTTTATAATCAAATAAAATACATAAACAACTAACATGTTCTAAGTAAAAACTATTAATATCTAAGTAAGTATTTACAAATCTAAAGTTTCAATTTAAATTTCTGTATTTCTAACATTTTTTTTGTTTCTTTCAAATCCACTGTAATAATTAAATGTATTATTAGCTCGTAATTAAAACTAAAGTTTATAAATCATATAACCAACCAAAATCTAGTTAAATTCCAAATCATAAACAAATAAAGGAGGAAGAATATTATAATCAATTCTATTTGTAACTCTCTTTTATGTTAAAGGAGGGAAAATATTTGACAGAGAGGAGGAATTGGTCACAAGTATAATTTTCTTAAGTTGTATATTTGTAGTGAATAGTGGTAGTGTCTGCCTTGTAGGCAGAGTATTGAACTATAATCTAATATATAAATCTGTATTTCCATTTCTAAAGTTATTTTTTGTTGTAGTCATAGCTCCCTTTGGAATAACATTTGCTTGAAAAAAGCTTAGCCTAATTGTAATTTGACGTGGGTAGTGGTTAACTTTGAAGCTTTGCATAGTTCAAATTTCAAAGTTTGAGATTGATATCAGTATTTTTTTTCATTTTTAGCATCATTATAAAATGATAGTATTATTTTGAATATAATTTTGTCGAATAATTAAATTTAACTAGTTGTTAAAAAAAAAAAATTAAATTTAACTATAAAAAATGTTTAAGACAACGAAATAAAATGTAAGTGTTGCAATGAATTTGTTTCGTAGTGGGCTTAGGAGTGCCACTACCAATTGATGGACACTTACAATATGGGCTAAAATATCATAATGGGCTTAGGGTTTCCTTCCCCTTCTCTTGCTCATATCATATAAGTTACACAAACCTTCTCGTGCCGTTCTTTCTCTGTTTCCGATCTTCACAGGTATTCTTTTTCTTCTTCTTCTTCATAAAAACGTTTCTGGAGAACCGTCCTTGTAATCTGACATCCTCTTTACTTTCCGTTTCAGGGGGAATAGTATCTGAGAAACTGCCAAAATGAGGTTTGTATGCTCGCCTTGATTTGCTCTTATTGTTTCATCTGCCTCTGTAATTAAACTTTTAGTTGGATACTAGTGAACCCTAATAAGTTGTAAGCAAATTAGTTTAAATCATAGATAGTGTAGGTGGAAAGCATTGGACTTTTTGTGTGAAAGTCATCACTTTGGTTGTTGAAGAAACAGAGTGTTAGGGTTTATTGGTCACTTAAATAAAGACTCTGTTTTTATGGGTGTAATATTAAAATTATGAATCATTGATGGCTTCAGTAAGCTCCAGAGTGAAAAGTATTGTCCTTTTTGTGTGAAAGTCAACACTTTGGTTGTTGAAGAAACAGAGTGTTAGGGTTTATTGGTCACTTAAATAAAGACTCTGTTTTTATGGGTATAATATTAAAATTATGAATCATTGATGGCTTCAGTAAGCTCCAGAGTGAAAAGTATTGTCCTTTTTGTGTGAAAGTCAAGTCAACACTTTGGTTGATGAGGAAACAGAGTGTTAGAGTTTATTGATGTCTTAAGTAAAGTCTCTGTCTCTGTAGATATATTATTGAAATTTTGGATCTTTGATGTTTCAGTAAGCTCCAGAGTGAAAAGTATTGAGATTTTTGTTTGAGTCGTTACTTTTGTTGATGAGGAAACAGAGTGTTACTTAGGGTTTATTGATGTCTTAAGTAAAGCCTCTGTCTTTATGGATATATTATTGAAAGTTTGAATTTTGATGGGTGCAGTAAGCTCCAGAGTGAAGCCGTGAGAGAGGCGATATCCTCCATGATCACTCACTGTAAGGAGACAAAGCCACGCAAGTTCACTGAGACCATCGAACTCCAGATTGGTCTTAAGAACTATGACCCACAAAAGGACAAGCGGTTTAGCGGTTCCGTTAAGTTGCCTCACATTCCTAGGCCTAAGATGAAGATTTGCATGCTTGGTGATGCTCAGCACGTTGAAGAGGTAGCTCTCTTTCAAGACCTTGATCAAGTATAAATACATGTGTTTAATGTGGAAGTTTGGTTTTTTTTTACTTAGGCTGAGAAGATTGGGTTAGACTCTATGGATGTTGAAGCTCTTAAGAAGTTGAACAAGAACAAGAAACTTGTTAAGAAGCTTGCTAAGAAGTTCCATGCATTCCTTGCTTCTGAGTCTGTCATTAAACAGATTCCTCGTCTTCTTGGTCCTGGTCTCAACAAGGCGGGAAAGTTCCCAACTCTTGTTAGCCACCAAGAGTCTTTGGAAGCTAAAGTGAATGAGACTAAGGCAACAGTGAAGTTCCAGCTCAAGAAGGTTCTGTGCATGGGTGTTGCTGTTGGAAATCTCGGCATGGAAGAGAAGCAGATCTTCCAGAATGTTCAGATGAGCGTCAACTTCCTTGTTTCACTCTTGAAGAAAAACTGGCAAAATGTCAGTATTATTTCTCTTCTTGATCTTCTCTTTCATCCTCAAACATGTATCAGTTTCTAATGTTCCTTTGAAATGTATTTGCAGGTGAGGTGCTTGTACTTAAAGAGCACAATGGGCCCACCAAACCGTGTTTTCTAAGGTTTTCTTATCTCAAAGTTTCTCTGAAGGTATCATCAGACTGAGAGGAAATTTGATTTTCTTCTCAGTCATGAGCCTTCTTCTTCTTGTATTACTTCCAGTATCTTTACTTTGTAGGATCAAGATTTTGTTGAAAGACAATTTTGTTTCAGTTTCAGCATCAATATCAGTGGGATTCTCTCAATTAAAATGGTTTAAATTTTATTCGTCGTTTATTATTTGTCAAATCAAATTCTCTTAGGCTGCTTCTCTTTAACATTCCTTAAATCAACAAAATATGATTTTATGTTATTGTTTACTTGGTTCCATTGACTAGGGTGTAACCATATTCAGTCTGATTCTAGTTTGGTATATCGATTTTGCTGCTTATCATTTTCAAACATCAACTTTGTTTTTCATTCTGTTCGTGTTGCAAAATATGTATAAACGACCAACATGTTAAGACACTACAGCAACATTCCTCTTTTTTTTTTTTGAACACCAACAACATTCCTCAAATCAACCAATTGCGTTGGATTAATCCAATCTTATTATGTTGACAAAAAAAAAGTCCAATCTTATTATTATCACAAACTTGGTACAAAGTACAAAGCAACGGATTAAAACCAACATAAGCCATTAAACAACACTCTTTATCACATAAACAAACCTTATATATATCTCACATAACAAAAATAAAGCTATAATTTGCTATAATGTTTTTTTGTCTTGGCTCTCCTTAGTTCGTCTTAGATTCTCATAAACAACAAAACATATTAATAAGTACTTCTTCAAGTCTTATTAAGCACATTTAATCAAATCATGGGATGCCAATGATTGGTAAGAAGGGAAAGAAGCTAGCAGGTGGGAATCCAAAACCTCCTGTCCCCGGAAAATCAACAGTCTTTGAATCTCCGATCATATTTCCGACATTATCCCCGGTTGGTTTAGGGCATGTGAGAGCGAAGGAAAGTGGGTTTGAGGTAGTAAGAACTTTGGTATCGTGTTTGGACTTAACCAGTTCAGAGACCATGTTGTGTTTGTGACCATAAAGTTGCTCAGGACCTCCCAAGAGCTTTGCAAGACAGTTCGTGGAATGTTTTTTGTCAGTGGTCGGAAGCACTGTCTTGAAAGATCCGTCTGAAGTTGTCATTGTGGTTATCTGTTTCTTCTCTCCGTCGCACTTAAGGAGAACCTTAACGCCTGAAAATATAAATTAGTCATACTTAACTCTTTTTTATGGTAGAAACAAATATTTACACTGAAAATATATGACAAAGTTACTGAGTTTATATTAAAACGTAAAGTGAACTATTATGCTGTCAAAAAAACACAACATGGTCTGAAATGGTTAAGTTCCACACAACCTGATATTTATTAAAGAGTTAAATATTTGTTTCCACCATAAAAAGAGTTAAATATGACTAATTATATTTTCAGCCAAGAAACCTGTAAAATTTCAATTCTCACCTACGAGAAAAATCGAGATAATCTCGATTACTTCCTAGATGTTTAAGCTTTGTTTCGAATTCGTTGTCATCTTTTTATGAAGAACTATCTTGCTTAATTTATTTTGAGGATGTAGTTTATATTTATTATCAAAGAGGATGGATAATTTCTTCTTACTATTGTATCAAAAAGTTGGAAGTTTAATGAAAGTAAATTTTGTTTCAGAAAATAAAAATCAACTCCCTCTTATTATCTTCTAACCCATTTAAACTAAAAGCTACAATTAAAAACCATGAGATGAGATGCATTAACCTGAGAAGTCGAAACCACGGTGGCAGTCAAGGCAAGACACTTTGCCAAGGACAAGCATAGAAGCTGAGAGTTCAAAGTTGGAGAAGACAGCTAAACCGAAAAGGAAGAATGCTGCAATAGCTGCTTGATTCGCCATTGCTGAAGTTCAAATTAAAACAAAGAGTTTATGGGTTTGATGCTTTAGATAGCTTATTGTCTGAGTGATATGTGGGGAACGTATGGAAGCTTTTATAGAAAATAAATGAGTAAATTGACCATAATGCGTTGATCCTTGGTGGTTGGCTTTACGTTGCTTCTATATTAACGGCTCTTTAATTCATCTGCCTTTACTTTTTGCAGTAACTCATATTCAACCTAACACTTTGTTGGATTCAAATGATTTATTATATGCGTACGAACGCCACAGGTCTACTAGCATAATAGAGACCTTGTTAGTAGATATTATAGTTACATATATAATCACCGTTTAGTTTGTGCTAATGAACACTATTTCGTCTTCGTTTATATATCAGTTCTCTTAAGAAATGATACAAATTACGACTTCTTATTTTAAAAAGAGAGAATAATAGTCTAGTGGCTCTGTGGCTGTGATTAATATCGTTCATGTGTTTCGTTTATAACTCTCTCTAGTCTTTTTTCATATGGTATGTTACATGGTCCAAAACTACCTAGCCAAATACAAATAAATTAAGGAGAACATCAATCATATATGCATATATTTTCCTTATTTGATCCAGTCGTTAATACTGGTATGGATCTTGTGTTTTGATTCTCTTTACTCATACAGAGAAAGAGAACAATGTTATGGTTGTGCGTTCTTCATATATATAGGATTCTGATTGGTTCCTTTTTTTTTGATACGCAGTTTAATTTGTTGATACTCGAGTATATGTATATATGATTGCTGGCAACTGAAAAAAATACATGATATAATCGTTAGTTCATGACCGGGTTGACAAAATTTTAAATATTAATTTACAACCATTCGCAGCAAAAGAATTGTTCCAAATCAGAAGGTTTATAGAGTTTTTAAACATTTTTATACCATATTAAACAAAATTATTGCTGGTCAATTTATCCAACAACTTATATATTTTAAGAGTTCTTACATTTATGTTTCAACAGTTAAACTGCATAACTTTAACCACGGAAACTTTATAAATAATACCGACTATATTATGCAGTATTAACTATATTTAAACCATCATCACTCGCTAGGGTTTAAAATGTTACTAAAAATGGAAAGCCTAGTGGGGAATGATATTTCTCCTACTGTCCCTTTAATGAGCCGTGAAGGTTTGCTCAACAGTAACAGTGTCAGTGGTCGTTGCATCATTTATATCTGATAATTTTGTTCCACTTGTCCATCAAATTTGTGTCAATTTGTGCTTGTTATAAACTGAAATAGGTAAATACTGAATACATGTGTTATGTATAAGTTTGCTCAACCATAAATAACTTGTATAAAATTTTCTTTGTTAATTCCGTATATCTTTTTCTCTTTAGTAAATGTTATCTTTTTGTTACCTCATATCAATACGGAAGGAGAGTATCATTCTAAATAAGTTGGCCTCTCTTTTTTCTTCCTCGATAGCTATTCCGAAAAGTTTGTATATTCAGATATTGTTCTGAAGTAATCATGTAAATTGCACATGTTTCTCATTGACAACTACTTCAACATCAACCAAGAAACAACCAACTTGAGATTTTAATAATGCGCGTTGTTGTTTCTCTAGTTGCTTCCTTACGGTTGATATCCAACAAAATCAAGCTATTTGTATACTTATGCATCTCTCTCGAACTATTTTTTTTTATCTCTCTACTATCAAAAGTCACAACCTTGTAATTTATTTCTGTGAAGCGCCTAATAAAACAAACAACAGCAACAACCAACAACTACTTAAGCATTACTCATATATCAAAATATCAATTCCCACCAAACTTCTTGTCCCATGAATGCAAAGTGTAAAAATATACTAGTGCCGAAGAATACGACCACTCTAAAGGAAACCGATCGCCAATAAATTAAGCTTCACTGACTCTTCTTGATTTAGCCATTATACTTGGAGAGAAGACCACAATGGAGAAGCAAACTAACGACGATATACGCACATTGAGGAAAGTATATATGGTCTTAGAATCTTAATCCTATTTTCCACAATTATTTTTATTCATGGTTATTCCTTTAAATAACCCTTAAGAAAAACTCAGATGCGGTAACAATAGACAAACAATTAGCACATGCAACCCAAAATAAATAAATAAACATGACAAAATGCAAAACGAAAATGTCGAAACATAATAAAAACCGGCAGAAGATTTATGCCACACAAAGCAGATTCTTGCAAGAACGACAAGATGTTCTGATCTCACCAGTGGACTTGTCTTTAACTCCAAACGCTCCCAGTTTCACCATCGCCTGTCCAAACCTAGCCAAGAAATCGTTACCGTTGGCGAAATCCGTCACTGTCTGTTTCGTCATTGCATCGGTGGCGAGTAGGTCATCGATTTTAAGAATTCCTCGGCGAGATTTTATCTGCTTGTAGAAAGATGCATCGACAATATTCGAACTCGAAACATTTTGATCCAGATTAATGCGTTTATTCTCTCCTGAATTTTGTGGACAATCCTTCTTTAACTCTTTGACCAAATTAGGGTCCATAGCTGGATCAGAATTTTTCGTGTTATTGAAATTATATAGCCGGTCCATAATGAATGAACAATGCGTTACTCCAATTGTATGTCCACCTATTAAAAATATTCAAAATGTCACTAAATATCATCAAAATTTAGTTTGTTACGTAATGATTTTTTCATACCAAGAAGTAGAACCATATCGGTAATGGTAAAATTTCTATCCTCAAACATCTTAAAGGTGGCCGAAACACTCATTTCAGGACCCGGCAACTTTACTAATAAGGCTGAAGACACCCTGCCATCAAATCGTCCCGTTGGTATCTCATATCTTGCTTTTCCTCCGCTTGCCTTCAAATCAAAATGTAAATTTCGCAACCGATTAAAACATGTAATATAAAATGGAGGCAGTAGATATGCTCAAAAAAAGTTGAGTGTGCTTAATTACAAGATTCACAAGATCTCTAGTAGCGAGAGCTATGATGTCAGCACAAGAAACGACCCCGGTGCAATTTTTTTCGACCGCAGTTTTCACTGTATCTATCAGAGCATATCCATCTACACTTAGGTTTGGCGGCGCCGTTTTCTCGCTGGTACGACCATCTAGAAGAAGCGACGCGTCACATCCCTACATACATTTTGATACATCCGAGATCAATCATTGCTTCCTTTGAGACTCTTTATATAATTTTACTCAGTATAATATAAGAAGAGTTGGTTATAGCTTACGTTGCTAAAACAATCGTGAAAATAGAGGCGAATCATTAGGGGTGCAAGGGTTGAGTTCTTGCTGAATGCATCTTGAACAACTTGAGATACGATCTGCTCCACGTTTGGGCAAGTTTCATTGTAGAATCCGAGTCGAAGTTGGCCATAACTAAAATGGCTTGAGCTAAGCAGAGCAAGAAAGACGATCAATGCTGATATGGTTGAGTTCTTCATGGCCATTTTTCTTATTTTGCTATAAAAATTCGGAGTGTGGAGGAATGTAGAAATTGTTACAACTTTTATAGTGCTCAAGTTTAATACAAAATGTGAGGCAAGCACGAAATGTGCAAATATTGATATAATATTTGATTTTCTCTCATATGATACTGATTTTATAGTTTTTTTTTGCTAAGAAATGATTTTATATTTCTGATCGGGCTGGATTCATTTTATAATCAGGCAGGGTTATAATCACAGCAACGTGTTTCCTTTATTCCTGGTTCAGCATAGAACTTTTTTTTTAACACCAACATAGAATATATGATCAATCATTTGGATGGTATATTGGTATATCCTGTGTATTCGTGGATTCTACTACTAATCTACGTAATACGCACGTATATAACAAGGTGTCACATTTTAGAAAGACGTGCAAAAATCACTTAAACAAAATAGATTTGCCGAAAACGAAATCCACATTTATAGTGACAGAATTTAAAACATTGTCGATGTTTCTTATATTAAAAATCGGTAAATAAATTAATGTAAACTAGTCTTTGCAAAAATTGTATTTCAATACAAAATTTCTTAATTCTGTATATTATTCTATTTGATTATATGGCATCTTTTACAAAAGGCAGTAAACTCACTTCGATTAGTAATCATAAAAAAGAATATTATAGTGAATGAAGACAAATAAAAGGTAAGGAATAATTATATAAGGTTTTTAAAGAGAAACTTCATTAAGAGAAAAGTAATATATTGATTTCTTGTTGGTCTAATAATTATAATGGTTAATGATTAACAGATTACAAATGAGTTGTACCCCTTTTCCAAGTTTTGTTTTTTCCTATTTTCCATTCATATATGGATGAATTAGGAGAATAGATATATCAGGAAACAATGTTCACAAATTAAGTATGTTAGAAAGTGTTATTATTAAATGATGAATTATGGGTATAGCATTACATTTTTTTTATTTTTCTTTATTTTGTGTTATTACACCATTGCTCAATCTATTCCCTATTAATTTCTCTGTTTCAAAATACTCCCTCCGTTTCATTTTAGTTGTTATTCTAGGTTTTTACACACAGATTAAAGAAACATTTAATTTTACATATTTTCAAGATAAAAACACAATTACCTATACACATAACCACTTTTCAACCAATAGAAAAATAGAATATCATATAAACCTAATAAATTTTGTTTCGAAACTTTAAAATGACACTTATTTTGAAAGAATTTTTTTCTCTAGAATGACATCTAATTCGAAACTGAGGGAGTAGTTGATACTTTGGTAGAATTCACAAAAATTAAAACATACACATTTCCCTAGAATAACATTATAAATATAAACTAAAACTAGTTCAGCCAATCATTAAAAAAATTATAAAATATTCTTGGTCATACACTTTTCAATAAAATTAAAATTAATATAAAATATGAAAACATTATATATTTTGAAACAACAAAAATTCTCTAAAACATCATGTATTTTGAAACGGATAGTATTATTTTGGAATTAGAAAAATTATATAATAGAGAGGAATTTTATTCAAATGTATTTTTGTAAAATATCTACAAAATTAGAATTTTTTTTTAAAAAAAAACTTTATTATAAAGGAAAATTAGAGATTAATTGGATTAATTTTATATATGGGTTAGAGTTGCTTCCAAAATCATTTCCAAATCCATTCTATTTTTCACTCAGTTTAAAAAGTAAAAATTTTATTTTATTCTTTAATAAAGTAAAAATAGATTAATATCACAAATAGATTAATATTTTAATTTTTTGTTGTTTACTCTAAAATATAACAAAAGTGGAACACAAAATGATTCGGAGCAGAGTTGAAATAAAAACCTAACATAATTGATAACCAGCCAATAAGGCAACCAATTAATCATATCTAATAAAATGTTAATTAATCTAATCACTCGTCGAATTAGGGTTCCAATTCCACATTGATTGATTGCAAACAGTTAATGTTTCCCACCAAATCCAATCCTCACCTCTCTCCCTCTCTGCCCTTTCCTCTTCAACCTCCAACAAAAAAAAAATCAAAACCTTTTCTCTCTTTACACTTACATGATTTGATCCCAATCAAGAGAGTTGATTCCTTGAGAACAACTCAGTTGCAACAACAACAGACAAACAAATAACACATGCAACAAGACAAAATGAAAAGAAAAAAAAAAACGAAAACGTCAACATAATAAAAACTTCACCAAGTTTTATTATGTGCAAAGTGGATTCTTGCAAGAACGACACGATGTTCTGATCTCCCCAGTGACCTTATCTAAAACTCCCACTGATCCCAATTTCACCATCGCCTGTCCAAACCTAGCCAAGAAATCGTTACCGTTGGCTAAATTCATCACTACATCGCTCGTCAGTGGATCAGTTGCGAGAAGTTGATCGATGTGAAGAATTCCTCGGCGAGATCTTATCTGCTTGTAGAAAGATGCATCGACAATGTTCGAACTCGAAGCATCTTGATCTAGATTAATGACTTGTTCTACTGAATCCTTAGGACATTGTTTTTTTAACTCTTCGACCAATGTAGTATTCATAGATGGATCAGGCTTTCCCGTGTTCTTAAAATTATATAGCCGGTCCAGAATGAATGAACAATGCGCTACTCCAATTGTATGTCCACCTATTAAAATATCATTTTAAAATGTCACTAATTATAAGATAATATCATCAAAACTTAATATGTTATTATATACGGAATGTTATTCATACCAAGAAGTAGAACCATATCGGTAACGTTAAGGTTTCTATCTTCAAACATCTTAATGGTGTCCGAAACACTCATTTTAGGACCCGGCAATTTTACTGTTGCTGCCGAAGACACCTTACCATCAAATCGTCCCGTTGGTATCTCATATCTTGTCTTTCCTCCACTTGCCTTCAAACCAAAATTATGTTAATTATCTTTTCGCAATATCGATTAAAACATGTCATTGAAAATGGATGATGTAATAAGAAAGAGGTTGAGTTTGTTTGATTACAAGAGTCACGAGATCTCTAGTAGCGAGAGCTATGATGTCAGAACAAGAAACGACCCCGGTACAATTTTTTTCGACCGCAGTTTTCACGGTATCTATCAGAGCATATCCATCTACACTTAGATTTGGCGGTGCCGTTTTCTCGCTGGCACTACCATCTAGAAGAAGCGACGCATCACATCCCTACATACATTTTAAATAATGCATCGATCATTGCTTCTATCAAGAAAGACTCTTTAGAAATTTATAATGAGAAGAATTGATTAGCTTACGTTGCTAAAACAATCGTGGAAATAAAGGCGGAGCATTAGGGGTGCAAGGGTTGAGTTCTTGCTGAATGCATCTTTAACAACTTGAGATACGATCTGCTCCACGTTTGGGCAAGTTTTACTGTAGAATCCGAGTCGAAGTTCGCCATAACTAACATGGCTTGAGCTAAAGAGAGCAAGAATGACGATCAATGCTGATATGGTTGAGTTCTTCATGGCCATTTTCTTATTTTGCTATAAAAATTCGGAGTGTGGAGGAATGTAGAAATTGTTACAACTTTTATAGTGCTCAAGTTTAATACAAAATGTGAGGCAAGCACGAAATGTGCGAATGTTGATATAATATGACTCATAATATTTGATTTTCTCTCATATGATACTGATTTTATAGTTTTTTTTGCTAAGAAATGATTTTATAGTTCTGATCGGGCTGGATTCATTTTATAATCAGGCAGGGGTATAATCACAGCAACGTGTTTTCTTTATTCCTGGTTCAACATAGAACATTTTTTTTTTGAACACCAACATAGAACATATGATCAAACGATTGGATGGTATATTCGGTGTATACGTGGATTCTACTACTAATCTACGTAGTACGCACGTATATAACATGGTCTCACATTTTAGAAAGACGTGCAAAAATTACTTGAACAAAACAGATATTCCGAAAATGAAATCCACATTTGTAGTGACAGAATTTAAAACATTATCGATGTTTCTTGTCTTAAAAAACGGTAAATAAATTAATGTAAACTAGTCTTTGAAAAAAATGTATTTCAATACAAAATTTCTTAATTCTATATATTATTCTCTTTGATTGTATGGCATCTTTTACAAAAGGCTAGAAAACTCGAAATCATCACTTTGAAAAGAAACAAAAAATGAAATCATCACTTCGATTAGTAATCATAAAAAAAAGAATATTATAATAAATGAAAAGTAATAAGTATAATGGTTAATTAAGAGAAAAGTAATATATTGATTTCTGGTTGGTCTAATAATTATAATGGTTAATGATTAACAGAGTACAAATGAGTTGTACTCCTTTTCCAAGTTTTTTTTTGTTTCCTATTTTCCATTCATATATGGATGAATTAGGAGAATAGATATATCAGGAAACATTAGAAAGTGTTATGATTAGATGATGAATTATGGGTATAGCATTTCATTTTTTTTTCTTTTACTTTATTTTGTGTTATTACACCATTGCCCAATCTATCTTCTATTACCCCCTCTATTTCAAAATACTAGATATGCACAAGAATTAATTAAGACATTACATTTTTTTTTCTTTTACTTTATTTTGTGTTATTACACCATTGCCCAATCTATCTTCTATTACCCCCTCTATTTCAAAATACTAGATATGCACAAGAATTAATTAAGACATACATATTTCCCTAGAAAAATAACATTATAAATATACTAGTTCAGCCAATCATTAAAAATTATAAAATATTATTGATCATACATTTTCAATAAAATTAAAATAAATATAAAATATAAAAATATCATATATTTTGAAACATCAAAAACTCTCTAAAACATCATGTATTTTGAAACGGAGAATATTATTTTGGAATTAGAAGAATTCTATAATAGAGATAAATTTTATTCAAATGTATTTTCCTAAAATATCTAGAAATCTAGAAAATATTTTTTTAAAAATTATTATAGAAGCAAAATTAAAGATGAATTGGATTAGTTTTAGATATGGGTTAGAGTTGCTTTCAAAATCATTTCCAAATCCATTCTATTTTTCACTTAATTCAAAAAAAAATAAAAATAAAAATTTTATTGTATGATAAAGTAAAAAATAGATTAATTTCACAAATAAATTAATATTCTAATCTTGTTGTTTACTCTAAAATATAACAAAAGTGGAACACAAAATGATTCGGGGAGCAGAGTTGAAATAAAAACCTAAACATAATTAATAACCAGCCAATAAGGCAATAATAATAAGGCAACCAATTAATCATATCTAATAAAGGTTAATTAATCTAATCACTCGTCCAATTAGGGTTCCAACTCCACATTGATTGATTGCAAACAGTTAATGTTTCCCACCAAATCCAATCCTCACCTCTCTCTCTCTCTCCCTCTCTGCCCTTTCCTCTTCAATCTCCAACCAACAAAAAATCAAACCTTTGATCCAAAAATCAAACCTTTGCCATGACTGAAGTGCTTCACTTCCCTTCATCTCCAACCGCCTCTTCCTCTTCTTCACCTGGATTCCCCCGCCAAGATGTTGACTTTCACAGCTCAATCGAACAAAATCAAAATCAAGATGATGACGACAATGGGGAAGACGAAGGAGAAGGTCAGCAGATATCTCTCTTGGCGCTTCTGGTAGCGATTTTCAGGAGATCTCTGGTTTCTTGCAAGAGCAATCGGAGCAGCATGGAGATTGGGTGGCCCACTAATGTGAGGCACGTGGCGCACGTGACTTTCGATCGGTTTAATGGGTTCTTAGGTTTGCCTGTTGAGTTCGAGCCTGAGGTTCCCAGGAGAGCTCCCAGCGCCAGGTATGTAGCATTGCATTGTTGCAATCTCTCCCAGTTTTATGATTCTTGTGAATTAGGGTTTGTGGTTAGCCCTCTTTTAGTGTATTCTGGTAGAAAGGTTAGTCCTTTGGTGGAAAGGTTAGCCCTTTTGTGATTTTGGAATTGCTTTTAATAGATTGTTTCCCAATTAGGGTTTGTGGTTTCTATTTCTAGTAGAAGGTATTACCTTTTTTGTTAATTTTGATGGTTAGGCTCATAACTAGAATTGTGATTATGGAAATTGCTTTTAAAAGATTGCTCTGACTTATCTCTCAACTATGATCAAGAATCTAAGCTTTATCTTGCATTTTGGTTAGTGTAGTAGATGTAGATGGATACGTAATATTCTCTGATGAATGCTATGTTGCATACAAGTTTAAGTGTTTATGTCTAATTAGTATAACAAAGATGATAAAGAGCTTATGAAGTGCATAGAGGACATTCTTGTCTCTTGCGGTTTTTAATCTCTTCAGAAGCTTAGAGCTATTTGCGGAAACTAAACACTTAAGAATTGTCTGCTGACCCATGTGAATGCCTCTCAGAAACTGGTTCATATCTATTGTCGAATCAGTAAAAACAAAAAACAAAAGAGCTTATGGTATATGAAGTGCTTAGAGCAGATTCTTGCCTCTTGCGGTTTCTAGTCTTACTATAAGCTTTAAGATTGGTGTATTGACTCATGTGAATGCATTTAAGAAACTGATTCATTCTATAACAACATTTAGCCGGTATCTCTGTAGTTACTTGTCTTTTTGATTTGGAAGATACTATCATATCCCTATTGGTTGAAGTTAAATTATATAACGGTTGCATTGTTCTCTGTTTACATGCTTATTTGGTAAGATATATAATTCTCATCTCTTTACCTGTTTTTTTGCTATCTCATCAATTTAGTGCAACAGTCTTTGGGGTATCAACGGAATCAATGCAGTTATCATATGATTCAAGAGGCAATTGTGTACCAACCATACTCTTGTTGATGCAAAACTGCTTATATAATCAAGGAGGCTTGCAGGTAACATTGTTGATGAATATCTTATAATTAACCTTTCCATGTAATCAATTCTTCATTACTTTTCTTTTCAGGCAGAGGGAATCTTTAGACTCACTGCTGAGAACAGTGAGGAGGAAGCAGTAAGGGAGCAACTAAACAGAGGATTTATACCTGAGAGAATCGATGTTCATTGTTTGGCAGGGCTTATCAAGGTATGTATGTAATGTTCTGCATCGAGCTCATTTTTTCATAAAGCTAATGTAATATTCTGGTTTTCAGGCATGGTTTAGAGAACTCCCTACAAGCGTTCTTGATGTGTTGTCACCTGAACAAGTCATGCAATGCCAAACAGAAGAGGAATACGTCGAGCTTGTTAGGCTTCTTCCACCTACAGAAGCTGCTCTTCTTGACTGGGCCATCAACTTAATGGCTGACGTGGTTCAGTTTGAGCATGTTAACAAGATGAACACACGCAACATCGCTATGGTTTTCGCTCCCAACATGACTCAGATGGATGATCCGTTGACGGCGTTGATGTATGCAGTTCAGGTGATGAACTTCCTCAAGATGCTGATAGAGAAAACTCTAAGGGAAAGGCAAGACTCTGTAGTAGAGCAAACTCACGTTTGTCCTTTGGAACCTTCTGATGAGAGCAGTGGTCACCAGAGTCCTTCACAGTCTTTGGCTTTTGATACTACTGAACTGAGTGAAGAGACGCAATCAGAGTACGTTGAAGATGCGGAGAATCAGAGTCCGAGCAGTGAGGTATCAGATGAATCATCATCAACTTTTGAGAACAATCTTAGGACTGGGAGAGTAAGTGACTCTGGTCAGGTGGAAACAGAGAGAAAAAGTAGTGTGCAAGTGATGGCTATGGCTCCGGCTCCTCAGGCTCAGTGGCATGTGGGTAGAACAAAAGGGTTGACCAACTTGAGCCGTGTTGGTTCAAGGGTAGAGCGTACTGAAGCTTGGCGGTGAAGACAGAGAAGCAGAGCAAACCCTTTAGCTGTTCTTCAGAATCAAATTGTTGTTGACCTGTTTTTGTATTTGTTAATGTTCTGTTAATGTTGTTTCTATTCTTTTCTTTTCTTTTTATCAGTTTCTCAATAGACCGTCCATATCAATGCTTAATCAAACTTGTAAACCGTATTGAACCGGTCTCTCTCGGGCCTTTGATGATGTTATGGTGAAGCATGTTCTTCCTATCTACCTTTGTATTTTTAGTAACTTTTTTTTGGTATTGTTAGTAATATTTACAAATTAGATAGAGATCTTGTAAATTACATTTCTGTGATATATTTCATAAATAGAATATAACACAAAAAAATGGTGCCTTATTTGAAGATGGAATTTAACTATTATATATGAATGTATAATATAAAATAGATTTAAAACTCTGTTTATGTAATATAAATAATATATTATATCTGTTTAAAATCTTCAAAACATATGATCTGTAGAAAAGAAACTATATGTTTTATATGTAGGATACATAATTATATTTTATAAAATTAAACTTGATTAAGATTAGAAAGAGAAAACATTTTTGCAATTAAGAAAAATATTCATGTGTGTATAAGAGAAGGCAAAATGACAATTAACACACATTTTATGTAGTATATCATAGCCTCTATATTGATATGGTCATTTCATGAATTATATTTTGTTTTTTTGGGTTATAGTCAAATTTCCCATTGCATATATGAGACCAACTTAAGATGATAATATGTTATGTGTATATTGGTTCTTCAAAGGAACTAAGGGACGAATAAAACTCTCAACAATAAAAAGTGGATGACAAAAGCATATTGTAGAGGGGAGTATATGTCTAGTTGAATTCAACATTGTATAGTGGGTCATAAAAAGTTGCACGTCATTTGCATACATATTATGCACGTATTTGGATACTCCTTTTTCGGGAATGATTTTCTAATCTAAATCATACATACTTTTTAAGAAGTTTACTTTTTTTTTTAAAAAAAAGCTGCAAAATAATTTAGAAAGATAAAAATGATGATATTTTGAATCGTTGGAAAATTATGTTTAAAAAAAAAATTTAGAACAGCTTTTTAACATTTTTCTTAATTTGATCATATAAAGTATATAATAACACATTTGACGACGATATAATATTACTCAATCTATAGAAAACAATTTACCAGAAATTGAATACAGAGTTTCTATAGCATTTTACATATCTAAAGTTTGAACTTTAATATAAAAGTTCTATGTTTTGGGTTTATCACTATTCACTGCATTATGAAAATTTCACAAGTTAGTATTTCTCCACATATATGGGTTCATCGCCACTGGTTTTGGCTTGATGCTGTCGATTTCTAATCTTTATATCATCGGTTGAAAATAGGAATAGCGATAACATGATCTCTTTAAAAATATCATGCACTATATTGGAATCAAATCTTGAAAGTTGATATATGATATTTTTTCTTTCTTGACCATGCTCTGTTTGTTGGTATTTGATATTTCTCACGTGGGATTTAGTTTTTATTTTGATATTTTACAAACTACTTTTTTGGGGATCAGTTTCTCACAAACTAATATTTCTGTTATGGTATTTAGCTTTTTTTTTTTGCATGAAAGATTATGGATATAATACTGATAATTACTTGACCTGTTGACCATAGAACATTGTTTACCTTCTAACCTTCAATATATATATAATATTGTCCACACTTATAAGATATTTATATTGTAACTTTATTGAATGGTTGACAAACAATCTAGTACAATATTACGAATAAAAATATACTCCTAAATTTATGACAAATTTATTGTCAAAGATATTAAATAATAAAAATTCAACTTAAAACATCCAATCTAAAAATCTTTTACACCTTTTAAACATTAAAAATGTAGAGTCATATTATAACATTTTAAACATAAAATAAAAATTTGACTATATTTGAAGATTCTTGTTTCAAAAAAATAATGTTGAATGGTTTCGTATTTCATATGGTTCAACTCACATATTTTTCTAAGGCTTTAGTTATTTTTAAGTATCATGAAACGTTGTTAGTGTTTTGTAATCCATTCTCTTAAATTTTCACGAATTAGATAATTTTGGGCTAGTGGTATTCTGAATGGTCATAAGAAATTAGGAGTAAAATGCTCCTTCCTATGAAACTAGGAGACATCAAGGGTCAATTCGATGGATTGGTATCCGTCAGTCGCTAACGATCAAATCATATATTTTGTGGACGTCAATAAAAAATTTCGTATAAAAATATTCGCAAAAAAACTTTATTGTATACGTGTGTTGGGGGTATCTATATATAATAAAGATGTAGATAAAAGAGGTACCGAGTGCAGATGTTGTTGGTCATTGACCAATTGGAAAAGGTGAAATCGTGATATCTTGTTGGGTGGATAGATTCGGACAGGGCTCCACGGACCACCGGTATGTGGACGTTCGTCACACATCACACAAAAAATAACATATATTTTATCTGGCAGATTTATTGACTAACGCGACATACTTAAATTATATAATGAAAAATTAAAATATTATTACTAACTTAGAAATCATTGTTGATACAGAAACATGTATATCAATAACTTTATTGATAAATATAAATAATTACACAACTCCTATGAATTATTTCAACTAATAACTCCACAACTCCTAACAATTATTCGAACAAAGAAATAATAAAAAGGTTAACCAAGTAACCATAGATAATATGATCACAGGCTTGTGGACACATTCATAGTTAAAATTGCCAGTAAAATTTTGAAATATCCAGCCATTTAAATGGTGAAACGGGTTTAACGAGAAGGACCGTCCTGCATTAACAGACTTACCTACTAGCACAACTGCACAACTATTAAACTCGTGTACCATTTAAATATCTTGAAATAACTAAGAAATTATTATTGCTATTTTATTCAATACGGATGGTTAGGAACTGATCCGGTTGTGTTGTACATTTGTGATTAGTCTCCATTACGCCCGGTTATTAGACAATATCATGAAATCAGATTATGTGGTTGAGGATCACGAGGCTCCCACAGTCCAACCAATCAACATCGACTCAACTACATCTCGAATCTGTCGTGGTTAGCTACTATTGGAAGCTCAGTGATCTGCCCAGAAAAAAATGTTGCAATTAAATATATATAGAACATTTCAAGTTTGCTACAATTTATAACCTAATGTTTCTCTCTTTATTCCATCAAACCTAAATAACAAAAGCGTTGAAGAATAAGACATCTATGATTTAAAAACTGTGTTTCTAAGCATTTATATATTTATATATTTTTGTCAACTTTTAGATATTACTGTACAAATATGCCATATTTTTAAGGAAAAATCAAATCCAACAAAGTTTGAAAAGAAAAATGAACAGTGTGAATGATTCCATAATATAATAAATATATAAGCAGTCCATATAAAATTGTTTGGCTGTGTCCGAATAATTATAGCCACCAAAATTCGCACCACTTGGTGGCTCCTCTTTATTCCATTCTTCTCTTTCTTGGTCTTCTATAAATCAGTAAATATCTATTTATTTATTGGATTACTGAAACTGTAGTCTAATAATATTAACCTTTGCAATGTAACAACGTCGTGGAAATGTGATCTCAATGTGGTTAACCTTTAACGAACCAACCTATAGATGCATGTAAATATACATTGAAGTTGCCTTTTGCATGTAAATATCAAAGTAACTGCTATCACTCATCACCATTGTCATATTACAATTAAATTGACTAACCAAACTAACAAATGTTTGACCATTAATCAGATTCCATATATTTGAATATAAAAAATCTTTTTATCATTTTATTCGAGTATTTTTTTTCCCTCCTAACGAATATATATCTGACAATACCATCTTCTCCTTCACGTCCATCTCGTGTCCTCTCTCTCTCTTTCTCTTCCAACCTCAGAAACAAAACAAAGAACAAAACACAAAGAAGAGAGCAATGGCAGCTTATGGAAGTTTTCATCAAATATTCGAGATCCAAAGACAAGACAAAGCTCCAAAGTCACTTCTTGATACTTTGATCTCCTCTTCTTCACCTTGGAACCCACTCCCAATCAAAGGGCTCCACGTCACCGACCACACCGAAACGCCTCCCTTTACTGAGATATTCGGTGAGCTCCATTTCAGGGAATCATCTCATTCTTCTTACGAGAAAGCCTCAGGCGAGAACAGCAGCTTGCAGCTATGTACGGAAGGTCTAGGGTCAGAGAGTTACTACGACTTGGAAGACGGGAAAGTCAACTCTAACGGTAACGGAGAAGAAGATGGTGATGATCATGAGATTGAAGTGATGAAGGGTAAAGGCAGTGATGAGGAGTGTGGACCGTGGAGGAAGGAACGGAGAGAGTATCCTCCAGCTATGACAAGGATGAGTTTCAAGACGTATAGAGAAGAAGGGAGGCTTGTGTTGGAAGAAGTTAGGGTTCCAAAGAGAGAGTTTCTTCGAGCTAGCCGTGAAGACGGTAGACTCAGGTTGAAGTTGGTTCAACCAGAGGATGAGGATGAAGATGAAGACAAAGACCAAGAAGAGAAGAAAGATGAGCCTTCGGACTAACTTTGCTGATTATGTGGAAGTTAATTCCGCTATTTCTTACTATTAATGGCAATTATGAATGTTAAAACATTTTTAACATTTAAGAAGGATTTTGTAGTTAAATTAAGCTTTTATATCTAAATCATAACCATTCTACATTGGTTTGCCAGTGTCAGAATTTTTTTTTCTATCAAAAATGTAGATTTGGTTTTGTTTTAAAGATTTTTGAAAGTCTTCTATACTTTGGATTTGGAAGCAAAGACAGAGGAGTCATGTTTATGTGACATAGAGAGAATAATTTACAAAATTTTACTAACAAAATATGGAAATAACCTAAAATATTGATATGTTACAGTTGTATCACTAGAATATCATTAATACATTTTAATATTTTATACTTAGATTTTTGTATGATATTTGTAGAAGTAACTTAAATGTTGAGGTTACTTATTACGCAGTTAGGGAGGAAGAACAACTCCTAATCAAAAAGTATTAACGCCTAATCAAAAAATATTTTGGGTTAACGCGGGAACCGGAATACACATTTTTGTACGAGACTAATTATCGTGACACAGGCCATAGATGGCCCTAACGTTGTGAAGCCCAACGTGGGGATTTCTCACAATAGTATACTAAGATAGGAAATGGTTAGTATTTCCAGATGGAGAGGAGTATACATTTATTTTTCTAAGAGGACTATAAATGATTTCTCATAAGATTTCAATCTCAATCTTAAATGGTGTCAAAAGAAATTTCTATGTAATCTCTTTTTGTAAGTAGGAAACTAATTTGTGTATGTATACAAACAAGTACATCAATCAATACATTCTGAATAAACTCAAGGAAAACAAAATATATAAACCTGTAGTCTTTCTCATACATTTCCGCATATGTCAGTAAAAATAAAATATATCAAAGTTTCAATAGTATGAATGCCCCCACGGTTCACGCATGGCAATGACATATTGAGTCACAAAATCTCGTATTCATGAAAAGAAAGAAAGAAAACACTTTTTAGCAAAAAAAGAAAAGAAAGAAAGAAAACACTTCGACATAATAATTACAATGGTCACCTACTAGTGTTCACGAGACTAAGTCATTGCCGGCACTCTCTTGAACCAACTTATAATAGGGGAAATCGTCAAGACGTCTTATCTTATGATTATTACATTAACTGATTTATGAGCCAAATAATAAGTTGTGTATGCCTTGCAATAGAATTGTAAATCTAATCTTTATAACGAAAAAATCGTGAAATCACAACATTTTCTTAGATTTTTGTTGTTCTTAGATTAAGGCACAAAAACCCAATAACCATGATTAAAACATGTATTTAGTTTGCTTAAACGCACATGCATATAGAATAGCTAGATTTTAATCTGGGCGGGATAGTCTACTTTATAAAGATTTATTTCTTATGAAATATATTTATATCCTATATACTTTATGAAGATTCAAGTCTATCTGTATTATTATGAATCGTCCTATGAAATCCATATACCCAAAACCTCCTTATTCATATGTTTTTGCTTGTCACCTACTGCTCAGTGCTCACATCACTTGCCTAACATTTTTAACGCAAATTCGCTATTGCTAAACCCTACGCGCACGCAATTAATATGGAAAGTTTCCATAGCAGAGTAGTATCCTTTTCTTTTTGTTATGGTACAAATATATCTTTATGTTTGTTATTAGCATGGGAAGGGGAGAGGACAAGAAAGTCCTACATCGTTGAGGTGAAATCAACGCTCGTCAATGGTGACAATTTCACCATGATTTTCATTTTCATTTGGAGTGTATATGTGTTTTGTCATTTCGTTATAGAATGCGTTCGCATTTGTATCTATATATATATACACACCAGCACACACACATACATATATATGAAAACTCTGGATGTGATTGGTAATATTTATATCAGATAATATACATATATTGAATCCATTGGATTATGATATTTGTAAATTTTGAAGTAAATATATAGGCTATAATCAACACGAATTATATGGGAAATTAGTCGTAGATAATCTTTTTAGAAAAACTGGTAAACTAGCATCTTGTAAAAGTGGTACTTATTTTATGAATAATATTGAAAACTAGTAATTTAAAAATCAAATTCTGAAGTAGTAGTTTGCCAAAAAAAACTTGTTTTAATTGAGTTTGACATTTCTGATAAACCTCAAACTAATAGAAGCCACTCATTTCCTTTTGGAAAGAGTCTCGGGGGTGGACCCATTTCTTAGTTTCCGTATTGGTTTATCTATCTTTGTTTAAAATTAGAGATTAGACCCCTAATAATAATGGGTTATGCCGCCTAGACTGTTTAGTTATGTCCCCAGTTAAATGTATATTGGTGATGCAACTGATCTTTGACATACATTACATTTTCTCTAGAATCTCAGTACATAAAATCATGTTTTATGTCTCATTGAAAATATGAGATCAGATTATTTGTCGATATTGTTTACCTGGATATTAGTTAGACTTCGACCAAAGATAATGTCTATCGATAATTTGTTTCCAACGTATATATCGAACTCAGAACGATGGATTTACAAGTTGTTCAAAAAAAAAAAAACGATGGATTTACAATTTGCCCCAAATTTTTTATATAACCATCATACTATACTTAAAAACAAACCTTAGAAAAATATGAGTAAACCCAGTTTGCTTCAGATAAAATTATTATTATTCTAAAATTGGCAAGAAAAGTAGAAAAACAAAGAGAAAAGAGACTGAAATTTGACGCCAAGACGAGGGATTGAGTCTGACTCGTTCAATTGCCGTACTTGGCTCATAAAAAGCTTACTCAACAGTAACACACATTACAAAGAAAATAATCATTAATCAAACACACACACATGTACAAGACCATCTTTGTCTATCCCAATATCAGTATAAATAAAATAAAATAAATATATAAAAACGCGTAGACCTTTTCTCATCTCACTCGGACAAACCAATCTCTACTTCAACAACTTATTTAATGCCATGACCTCTAAGTTTAAAAAGCAAAACGATTTGTCATAAAGACTTATAACGAGGTTGCCGTTTGCAGCAAATCTATTTACTACATACAAAAATGTCGGAGGAGCTTACCATAGGGTTTCGCTTCTACCCCACGGAAGACGAACTGATTGCGTTCTACCTACGAAACCAGCTCGAAGGAAGGAGTGATGACTCAATGTACCGTGTCATACCAGTTCTAGACGTATTTGAGGTCGAGCCTAGTCATCTTCCAAGTACGTTGTTACGTACTCTCACTAAAAAATGTAGCTTCATTAACCTAGCTCCATTATGGCGTTAAAATGATCATCATATAACTTGTTGAGTCATAGATGCATAGTGCACGTTAGGTTCTATAGCACGTAGAGTTTTCCATTTTAGCGTTGTAGAGCTTTCATGCTGTCATTTCTGGATTTTGGATCAGGCTAGTCCGTTTTACTACAGAAAAACCAATTCGAGATTGGTTTATCCGGCTTTGGTTCGGTTTAATTAGATATATCTTTATTTTAAATTGAAACCCTAGTTTTGATTTGGTTCCTCTTGTGTTAGTTGTGTTAATTAAATTGTAATGATATTAGGACTCAATAAAGATTAATGGTAATGATATTAAGACTAAGTTTGGTTTTTAGATTTGGGGTTTTACGGTTTAGATAAAATCAATTTACTTTGATTAGAGATCCTAATATGAATAATACAAACTAGATGTGATATTAGAACTTGCACGTCCTCTCTCCTTGTGGGTTTTAAAAAAAAAAAAATTGGGCAGATGTTGCGGGAGAGAGATGTCGAGGAGATGCTGAGCAATGGTTCTTCTTTGCGCCAAGACAAGAACGCGAAGCAAGAGGAGGCAGACCAAGTAGAACCACTGGTTCAGGGTACTGGAAAGCGACTGGATCACCTGGTCCTGTCATTTCCAAAGATAACCGAATGATTGGACTCAAGAAAACTATGGTTTTCTACACTGGAAAAGCACCAACGGGGAGAAAAACAAAATGGAAGATGAATGAGTACAAAGCCGTTGACGAAACAGTCAGCGTTTCAACAATCCCTAAGGTTGCATGTGTAAAGTTTTTATAACGATTTGTTAAAAAAAAATAAAAATCTCATTAATGTGTGTGTGTTTTTTTTTAAATGTTTTGTTTACCGAAGTGTTTTTTTTAAACGTAGTTGAGGCATGAATTCAGCTTATGTCGGGTCTACATAACATCAGGAAGCTCAAGAGCTTTTGATAGACGTCCTGTGGGAAATTTTGAGACAGAGAGAATGCTTACAAGTGATGTTGGAGTTGCTGAGACATCATTTCGTGTGGGAAGCTCGCCAGAAACTTCGATGTCAGGAGGAGAACATGTTGATCTCTCTGTGAACACAGAGATGGTTGATGGTTTAACTGAACCAATCTGGGAATGGGAACAGCTGAACTGGTCTTGAAGCTAGCGAGACGCATAATCAAAATAAAGTTTACTACATTACTACGTTATTTTTTAATATAGTTACATTATTACGTTGTTGAATTGATGATTATAAATGCACTTTTTTATTTTAAAAGTCATACCCTTGCTTAATTATTAGTACGAAATAGTCGGCAAAAGAGGAAGAAAATATGAGACAAAAAACAAGCCAAGGATTAAAATTCCAAGAATATAATTAGTACGTTTTGGTAGGCAGAAAGTAGAAAAAGTGATTTACATGAGCATATTTTTACATGGGACATGATATATAAAAAACTTTAAATAAACGAAAAGAGCCAAAAGGACATAACTGTTTTGTACTATAGGAAAGGGAGAGATGTATATGCGTCATGCGTGATCGCTATAGAGGTGAAAGTGGAGGGAAGACTAAAAGAGTTTTTTGGTCGTCGATATTCATGACCAATTGCTGAAGTCAATTATTTTTTGAATAACACATGTATATGTATGTGTACCTACCATTATAAAGGTGAGAGTGAACGTTTGTGCATCTTCCATACGTATCTAGCTGGTCTATTATTTCTCGCCATTCACAAATTTTGATGTGATCATGTGTAGGCCTAATCATGTGCATCCAAATGCTCATTCAAGAACTCATCTAGGCGTTGACTAAAAAAAACTCATCTAGGTATTGCGAATTTTTGTTGAGTTTTAAAATGTATTCGGACGTTCCATTATCTAAATGACACAATTAAATAAAGTAATGGCCCTGTGTCTGACTAAAATATTATATGTTATATTTTACAAGATTTTTTTTTGGAAATACAATACCCACTCGAGATAAAATATTTTTTTGAGGCAATAATATCATGATATATTTTGGCAAAAAAAATTTAAGAGCGAAAAAAACTACAAGGAATACATAGTATACAAGATGTGGAGCAACCGAAAACTCAATTAAGCTGGTATTTTATTGGAATACACAGTATACAAGGAATACACAGTATACAAGGAATACACAGATTATCGGATTATTGGATCGACCTTGAGCGAAAAATATATTAATATATTAATTAATTTCGTTACATAATAATATATTAGTTATTAATAATATTACAGTTATTTTCTGTTTTAAAAAGGGAAGATTTAACATTAGTTTTTTTATTTGACATAGAAAATATCAAAATAGTTTAGTCTATTTAACAATTTTTGTAACAATGGGTATGAATTGTGTGAAGAGGAAACTCATGCTCAACTTGTAAATACACAAACACAAGAACAACCCATGGGATCAAGATTTTGACAAATCAAATTCGACATATTGGGCCTTATAAACGGCCCATAATAATCATTTCGCACGCGAAACTTTTGCAAAAAGAGACCTTCATCTCCTGTTAAAATTTGATTTTGCAGTTTTAGTTAAGCAACGAGCTCTTTCGCGTAGAGTTTGATCGAAATCAAAACCCCCACAATCTCGGGCTCGATTCCTAGAAATTCATCACCCCCGGCATGAGGCCGATCCTATTGCCGGATCCACCAAGTCTATCCACCGGCGTACCCGAGATTTTCGAACAAGGCGGATCTCAGAACGTAGTCAGACGCGCTGTAGTTATCGGAAACGGTTTCCCTGGCTCCGAGAATCAGTCTATTGGTCTCGCTCGCGCCCTTGGCTTAGCCGAGAACCACCTACTCTACGTAAATGGATTCGTATTTCGTTACTCTTACTTTATTGTTTCTGCGTTTAGGCTAAAGTTTAAATAGGAGTAGAATCTTAGCATTGCTTTAACATAGGGATTCTCTAGGGGGCGGATTCATTTGGCTTATTCCAAGCTTGTGCTAAAGCATCTCCAGTGGAACACTCTTTTTCCCTGTTTGTTTAGGTTTCGTGCGACCTGTGGCTTGCGACTAAGATCATGTTCATATCGCGCGATCTGTGACTCGCGACTGTGACTAAATCTGCAACCAGCGACTAAAATCATGTTCCTTTACATGTTGTTTGACTAGCGACCTGTGTAATTTTCTTAATTTGTGGTAGCTATTTTTCCGGGCGACTTGAAATCGGATCCTCTACGATCGCGCAACATGAAATCAAACAACAATCTGCGACATGCAATTGATTGCCTGACAGCAAAACAAACAAAAACCTGCGACCTACGACTAATCGCAGGTCGCACGATAGCTAAACGAACAAGGCCTAATTCTATTGTGTGTTAACTTTTACTCCAATGGTAACTAACCATCAGATAGTGTAACTCTAATTTTAGAGTAAAACCGTAACATCCTTCTTTATTCTACTCTATAATAGAGTAACTAACACCATTGGAACAAAAATTACTTCATAATAGATTTACTTATTTTAGAGTAAAATATAGATAGTGTTTCACTGGAGATGGTCTAAGTCTAGATAGGCGTGGTTAAGTAAATGAACCGTGGGGTATAAACAATGGTTTTTGGTTTTGTTTGCTGAGATTGTGTATCTCTCTCTCTCTTTTTTTTGATGATGGAAGAGAGTTACGAGGCCTAACGGAGGGATACATGAGTGGCTACACTGGCTACCTGTTGGTTTTCACAAGAAGCTGGAGTTTATCCTCAGGCATCTTTACCTCTACTCGAGGTTGATGCTTAGGTCCAAACAAAGTAAATACATCGCTTCAGAGAATGGTGGAAATGTAGGCTTGTCTTCTATTCTCGAGGCTGACGTGAAAGAGATTGTCACCATGGCTCGTGAGACTTATGAAAAGTATGTAAATTCTGAAAATTCAGTGATATTTTGGATTTCTTTGGACACTATTACATCTGCTAAGCGATTTTTGTTTTATTTTCACAGGGATGGCCCGTTGGTAGTGATTGCATGTGGGAGAGATACAGTTTCTATCGCTAGCTCCATAAGGCGTCTGGCTTCTGAAAACGTCTTCGTTGTTCAGGTTTGTTGTAAGGTTTAACCTGGTTGTTATGTTAGGCTTGGAAAGATTTTTTTCCTGAATCATGTAATCATCTAAAAGGGAGAGAGTTTTATTCCTGGATCCTGTGAATTGTAAATAGGTGATCTTTGGTCTTCATTTGCTGTAGATACAACATCCTAGATCACACCTGAATAGGTTTGACATGGTGATAACGCCTCGGCACGACTATTATCCTCTAACCCCCGAAGCGCAAGAGCAAGTTCCTAGATTTATGCGTAGGTGCATAACTCCTCGTGAACCACCTCAAGATCATGTAGTGAGTGCCGTGGTTTTTACTCTATTATGTCTTTCATCATATTACTGAAGATGAAACTTGTTGTGGAACTTTCCTTTGTTTAATTCCATGAATGTGTACACCTATTTTTCAGGTCTTGACTACGGGAGCTCTACACCAGATCGATTATGCCTCACTCCGTAAATCAGCTAGTGCCTGGCATGATGAGTTTGCTTCTCTTCCAAAGCCCTTAGTCGTGGTTAACATTGGCTGGCCTAGACGTAAGTGCTGTCACTCTCTCAAGTCACTAGACATCGTTCTTACACTTCCAGCATATAAGACATGGAAACTGAAGCGTAGACCTTACTGCCATGGTTTTCTTGTTTTTTTCTGAACAGGTAACTGTCGTTATGGAGCAGACCTCGCAAAGCAGCTAACAGACGCCCTTCTTAGTGTCCTTAATAGCTGCGGAAGTGTTAGAATTGCTCTCTCTTACAAAACCCCTCAAAAGGTCTCATTACACATGTTTCTATTTACTGTGTGATAGTTACTAGTGATGTTCTTGAGTTTAATCTGGTGTTTTATTATTTAAGCAGGTTTCAAGAGTAATTTTCAAAGAACTAGGAGATAACCCAAAAGTTTACATCTGGAATGGCCAAGGTACTGTGGTTTCACTCCAAAAACTTTCTTCAGCTTTGTCCACATCATGTACAATGCAATTGACAAAAGTTTGTAAATTCAGAACCAAATCCATACATGGGACATTTAGCTTGGGGTGATGCCTTTGTAGTGACAGCAGATTCTGTCAGTCTCATTAGCGAAGCCTGCAGCACCGGGTATATATATATCACACTGAGATTTAACCCTTTCAGTTTTTCACTTCTTTCCTAAAATTTAAAAACTATAAGCTGATTATTCCTTTCTCTGCTATAGGAAACCAGTGTATGTTATTGGAGCCGATCATTGTAAATGGAAGATTGCAGATTTCCACAAGTCTTTGAGGGAGCGAGGAGTTGTCCGCTCATTTACGGGTTTGGAAGATGTAAGTATCTTTACATCTTTTTTTATATTTGTAGAGCTATCTTCTCTCCCTTTTTCTCCATGTCTTCATGATCTTCTTTGATCTGGTTTGGTTCTGTAATGGGTTTATAGATGTCGGAAAGTTGGAGCTATCCGCCATTGAGTGACACAGCAGAGGCAGCTATGAGAGTACGAACTGCATTAGCTGCACGTGGATGGAGTCTACGCTCTTGAAAAAAATACTATACTCTAAAATACAATCGGATGTGCAGAAAGAAAGAAAGAAAAGGTAGAGACGATACCATTTAAAAAGGGTTATATTAACATTTCCTGTGCCCTAAATTTTTGTTCACATTACAAATATCTACTTCTCAATTGGATTGGCCTTTGTGATATGAAGAGAAAGTGAAAAGTTCATTTTCCTGTGTGTATTGACTCGTCGGTGAGATTTCAATGTGTAGAATGAAAAAATGTCTCACTAACTTGTGTTTTAAGTTAACTAACGCAATATTGGCTTGAGATATGTTGTTTTTGGTTGAGGTCTACGTACAATATACTCTACATCCCCCAGGCTAGTCCTATGTGCAGAAAAAAAAACGATTCAAATTCTTCAAGAACATGTGAAAAGAACGCAAAAAGTTAAGAACTTTGTAAATAAACACAGATGAATAAAATTGAAAAACTTGTAGAGGGAGAGACCTGATAAGTATTAATTACACTTTAAGCTCTTAAACACATTAACAAGCAATACACCTTATTAGACTTAAATTTAGAAATTGGGTCTAACTGTTGTTTTATTTCTCCCACTTCAAAATTTAAATTTAGAAATTGGGGTGATTACGTAAATAAAGTAGGAATATAAGGGCCATTACTGCAACAAAAATAACTATAGAAAAGGGAGGGGTTTTTGCCATAAACATCAAAAACAGAGCTTCAACTCTTCTTCCGCCGCCGTCGTCGTTCGTCAGAAAATACATCAAAAAGACATCTCAGAAGGAGAAAAAGCTAAACTGTTGACAGAGATGGAGAAAGTAAAGATTGAAGAGATTCAATCCACCGCCAAGAAACAGCGAGTCGCTACTCACACTCATATCAAAGGCCTTGGCCTCGAGGTTCTTCCTCTTCTCCTCCCCTTTAATATCCCTCTTTGAGTCCAGTAGATTTGTAGTATAAAGTTTTAAACTTTTTTTTTAAGTTTCAAGTTTAGGGTTTAAAGTGTTAAGCTTTTTTTATAAGGGTTTTTAGCTAATTGTTTTAAAAATCTTTTGGATTTCTAATACATCTAAAAGTCCAGATTTTGATTTGCAAAGTTTCAATCTTTTTTGCTATATTTTCTGAAGGATGCTTTGATTATAGATTATAGTTTCAATCTTAAACCTGTAAGCCTTGCTTTTTTTTTATGGTCATTCACTGTGTTCTTACTAACTTGCGGTGGCTCTTTTTTACTGGTAATGGTTTCTATAGCTTTTGAGTATTATGTCCATTGCTAACTCTGTGTCTCTTTTTTTTAGCCAACCGGAATTCCTATACCATTAGCGGCTGGATTTGTCGGTCAGCTTGAGGCTAGAGAGGCAGCTGGTCTTGTAGTCGACATGATCAAACAGAAGAAAATGGCGGGGAAGGCTCTTTTGCTCGCTGGGCCTCCCGGAACCGGGAAAACTGCTTTGGCTCTTGGGATATCACAGGAGCTGGGGAGTAAGGTAATCATAAGATATTTGGTGTACATGGTTTGAACTATGAAGGCAATTTTATTCACGTATTTGGATTTGTTTTCTTGTTGTTTGCAGGTTCCTTTCTGTCCAATGGTTGGATCTGAGGTTTACTCATCCGAAGTTAAGAAAACTGAGGTTCTCATGGAGAATTTTAGGCGTGCCATTGGGTTACGTATCAAGGAAACCAAAGATGTCTATGAAGGAGAGGTGTGTGTGCTGCTATTTTTTTTTCAGTTTCTTGTGTTGTCTTGTTCTCTAGTTTACCGTCAGATTCTTAATATGTTTTCCTTGAGTTGTAGGTTACGGAGCTGTCTCCAGAAGAAACTGAAAGTCTTACAGGAGGTTATGGCAAAAGCATCAGTCATGTTATCATTGGACTCAAGACTGTCAAAGGAACCAAACAACTTAAGTTGGATCCCACTATATACGATGCATTGATTAAAGAAAAGGTTAGTTGTTTGACTTCTTTGCACACTGTATTGTTTTCATTTGTGTGGTTCCCAGGTCAAAACAGATTATGTTTTTTTCCTGAAGTGTTCTGATATTAACTGTTTTGACTCCCAGGTAGCTGTCGGTGATGTTATATACATTGAAGCAAACAGTGGAGCTGTCAAGCGGGTGGGTAGAAGTGATGTGTTTGCCACTGAGTTCGATCTGGAAGCAGAAGAATATGTTCCACTTCCCAAGGGAGAGGTTCACAAAAAGAAAGAGATTGTGCAGGTTTACCTTCTATGACTCTTCTGTGTAGCAGTAATTATCACTACTTATGGATTTACTTAATGTATGTGTTTTATAATCTTACGTTGTAACCTTCGTGGTAGCGTCTAAAAGGTTTCTTTCACTATGGTTAGGATGTGACGCTTCAAGATCTGGATGCAGCAAATGCTAGACCCCAAGGTGGGCAAGACATACTTTCTTTGATGGGACAAATGATGAAACCCCGGAAGACTGAGATCACTGATAAGCTGCGCCAAGAAATTAACAAGGTGGATCTTCTTCTCTGAGGGACCTAATACTATACTTGTTTAAATCTTGCTAAGGACTAGACTAATAGTATATTGTGTATGAGTATTGCAGGTCGTGAACCGTTATATAGATGAAGGTGTTGCAGAGCTTGTTCCCGGAGTTCTATTTATCGATGAGGTAAGTTTTCACATTCCACAATGCTAAGGACTCATGAGCACTAATTTAACTTTCTTAAATTCACAAATCCTTAGGTTCATATGCTTGATATGGAGTGCTTTTCCTACCTAAACCGTGCTCTGGAGAGCTCGTTATCTCCAATAGTGATATTTGCAACAAATAGAGGAGTCTGCAACGTAAGGTGAGGAGGAAAAGCACTAGACCTTAATCTACAATCCCTCTGAAAGTGAGTTGTAACTCAGTGATGTGATTCATATTATTTGCAGAGGGACTGATATGCCTAGTCCCCATGGAGTCCCTATTGACTTGTTGGATCGTTTGGTCATCATCCGGACCCAAATCTATAATCCCTCTGAAATGATACAGGTCTACTCACTTGTTCTTTAGTTTTTGGAATATCAATTAATTAACAGCCTTCTAATAGATTTGTTATGTGTTCAGATTATAGCCATTCGTGCACAAGTAGAAGAGCTAACAGTGGATGAAGAATGCTTGGTCCTACTTGGGGAGATTGGGCAAAGAACATCGCTAAGGTTTAAGACTGAAACTATCATTATTGCTTCTTTGCAAGATTTGTTTTCCTTTCTCTAAACTTTTTTTTGTGTTTTTGCTTTCAGGCACGCGGTTCAGCTTCTATCTCCTGCCAGTATCGTGGCGAAAATGAATGGACGTGACAATATCTGCAAGGTAAATATCAGAACAAACAAAGCAATCTAAAATTTAAGGTTATGGTTTTTGTTAATCTCTTGTTTTTTTTTTTTTTGACAGGCTGATATAGAGGAAGTAACATCACTCTACCTTGATGCCAAGTCTTCAGCAAAGCTTTTACACGAGCAACAAGAGAAATACATCTCATGAGAACCCTAATCGAATGGGACCAAAAACAAAAGAGAAAACACTGTTTGCTTCTCTTTTTACCTATTTTGTAATGTCAGTGAGATGGAGACTTCTAAATTTGATACGAGAGAATTGGTTTCTGAGACTAAAAGTGGTGATTCAAATGCATCTTTGGTTGTGCAATGTTATGTCAGTTTAAGCCTTGGTTTACCACATTAGTTGAGTTTCTTCATGTTTTCCTGGTTCCCTAATAGACTTAGACCAATTCTTCTAGAACAAACAATTTGTAAAGTCTATTATCCAGAGCTATTTCTGGAAACTGGCGTAATCTTTCAATCTGACATGATATCAATTACAAGTCTTGACGTAGGTAGTTATTATTATTAAATATACACAACCTCCAATGAGTCTTTGACGTTGAACGTTTGTGTCTCTCACTTTTTGACGGTCTCATCTTTGGTTACCTTGGACGTGAAGCTGACCGCTTTTCTCGGATGCTCCCTTATGTTCAAGCTAAACACCTCAGGCCTTGAGTAATGACCAACCACATCGAAGTCAAACTTAGCTCGTGCTATGTCCCCAAGATCAAGATCAGCTGAGAGAAGAGCCTCTCCTTCGTAGTTTGGTCCAGCTAGAACAACTCCCAGAGGCGAAATGATTGAGCTTCCACCGGCACAGACAACAGAGTCCGGTGTGAGGCTCTCTTCTGAACCGGAAAACGTGTATTCCGGTGGAGGAGGATAGTCTTTACGGCGACAGAATTGGTTAGCTGACAGAACAAAACATCCACCTTCAAGAGCTATGTGAGTCATTGATGCAACCCAAGTTTCTCTAGCGTCAGCAGTAGGTGCACAATATATCTCAATGCCTGCATAACCATAATCACAACAGCAACACATTGGTTCTTAATTCTAACCAAATGTTTTAAAATCGGTCTAAGCAGCGTCTAGGAGACAAATCGGATTTGAATAAAACGATTTTTATTTAAAAATAAACGATTTAGATGCCTATCTAAACATTGATATTCTATAAGGGTTTAACCACCGTCTAACGATTTCTTAAATATTATTATTCCAAACACAGTTTTTGGTGATAAATGGATTGATCAATTTTAATTATATATTGTTTAGGATCCCTTAGAACTTCTGATATTTGATAGATAAAAAGTAACTCATGCTAAGGGGAGACTAACCTTTGGCATACAATGCGGTTCTTAAAGACGGCATCCTATTCTCCCAACAAATAGCTGCACCGATCTTCCCTATCGGAGTATCGAAAACAGGGATGGTTGATCCATCTCCGAACCCCCAGATGCAACGTTCAAGAGCTGTAGGCATGAGCTTCCGGTGCTTACCCAAGAACTGACCTTGTGAGTCAAAGAAAAGGACAGTGCAGTATAACGTATAGCCATCTCTCTCAATCACACCCATAACCAAGAACACTTTGTACTTCCTAGCCATTTCCGCCAAACGTTCCACCTCAGGGCCTAAGTGTCAGCACAAAGATTAGTCAAAACAAGATGCCCATATGAGAAAGGAATGTACAAGTTTACACACACTAACTAGAGTCTTAAACTTAAGCCCATTCATCTGGTAAGCAAATACTACATCTTTGATCTCATCAACAATGAAATGTAAAGTTGACAAGACCTTCTAGCTCAGTTGGTAGAGCGCAAGGCTTTTAACCTTGTAGTCGTGGGTTCAATGACCCATGGTGAGTGATTGTAACAAATTACTTAGTTACAAAAAAAAAAAAAAAATCTAGATTGTTAGATTAGAGGTTTATTATGGGCTTACAACTTAAAACGTGTAAACACTATCCCTAATATGTGGTTATATTATCCCTAATATAGTGTAAACACTAAAGGTTTGAACATTACCGGGAACATCAATAGCAGAAGCAAGATACTTGCGAAAATCATCTCTTCCTTTAGCTGTTCGACCACCAATAGCCAACTCGAAGCTGGACCCTCGAGGATAACCACCGATGAACGCCTCCGGAAACACAACGAGCTGGGACCCATTATCCGCCGCCTCGGCAAGCAACCTCTCCGCCTTATCTGCCACGTCGGAGTAGGGAAAGATCAATAAAAAAATATAAGAAAGAGACAGAAAGTTCAAGTGGAGGAAGAAGGGAGCATACCTAGAGTGGCGGGAGTATCGTAGAAGATGGTGCATGCCTGGACGACGGTTGCTCGTACGATGGAAGAGGAGGAGGAGTCGCCGGACATCTCGATCTCTGGGAAAGTTTGATCGACGACGTTGATCGGAGAAGTGGCTGTGACGAGAGACATATCTTGGTGAGTGGACATGGAAGGAAGGAAGGAAGGAGCTTGAAACTCTTGTGTAGTTGTTGTAGGAAGGAAACGGGTGATTCTGGTTCTCTCTTATAAACTCAAAACTTTATCTCACCATTTTAATATTACTACTTTAAGTTCATTTCTTTATATGGTTTAAATTTTTACTTTTTAAAACAATTTATATATCAAACAAGTTGCATAAAGTTAGAGAAAAATGGTTAGTAAAATTTCACAATTTAGTAAAAACATATAAATTTATTATGTTGACCAAGACAAATTAATTTACACTTACAAACTTCATTTTTCATTTCATTGTTTGTGTTTCGATATGTTAAACTCTAATATTAAAGCAAAACTAAAATATCCAAGCTAAACATTTCCAATTTTCTGTTAAGAAAAAGTGAATAAACATTTTCAAATTTTCATACAAGTGACGTCAGCTTTATTCGTCGACAAAAACGAATCTCTCTAAATTTTCTCGTATATACGTTCTCTGACTTAGATTAGGAGGTATATATTTTTTTTATAAGTTTTGTCATGGTAGGCGAATGATTCCCTTTTGATGGCTATCTATCTTATATTTCGTGTACTTTATTTGTGGTTCTATGTTTTTTTATAGAAAAAGTAGTTCTATGTTAATCAATAAATTAGTTAATTAATTTAATATATTCATGTTTATCGTTATCATGGTTAGGTAACAACTCAATATCTGATATTTGATTTGTCTGGTTACAAGTTCTGTTCAGCCTTTGCTACGGCTTATATTAAATTTATGTTCATTACGCAGCCTTTCCATGTCATAATCAGAATATTCTTTGATATGGTATGCATTACTGTATCAGTTTAAAATTAAAAGTACTATGCTAATTCAGTTGTTTGGGGTACGTATTTCTATTTATAAATAATATTTTAAAATTATTATCGTAAAACCAAATATAGTTAATATCTATAAGTATATAAACTATATTATTAAAATTAAAATTTGGTTATTCATTGGATTTTCGGTTTGATTTTACTTTTTAGATTTTAGAGATATAGAATTTGTTTAAGTTTGATTCTTCAGTTCCGGATTAATAGATCCATGTCTACAATATGATGAGCCAAGGAAGGCCTCTGTAGTAGTAAACTAAGTTCAAAGTCTTAAATTGAGATTCTGTGAAACACCAAGGAGCTAACTGAAATAACCCTTTCATCTTTAACTAGGTTTGGTGACGTGGCAATCAGACATGCATCATGCAATACCCACGCAACACCTAGGCAAAAACACATGTATTGAGAGAACTCAGAGCTTAAGTAATAGCACTGAGAAGCACTCACAGATTTGTTTAACATTCGAACTCTCCAGAGACCGGAAAACACTTCTTTCATGGAGGCGGAGGCGGTGGGAGTTTTTAAGGATACGGTGGCGTCAGTAGAAGCGGCCACGGTGTTTCCAGGGTTCAAGTTCTCCCCAACGGACGTGGAGCTGATCTCTTATTACCTGAAGAGGAAGATGGATGGTTTGGAGCGGTCCGTTGAAGTTATACCGGAAACCGATATTTACAATTTCGAGCCTTGGGATTTGCCCGGTTTGTGTTACACATATTGACTTATGACATGCTTTTGTTATATTTATTCATAATTTTGTTCTACTTCAATCTCTTAGCATGTGTTCTTGGTGGAGTGTGGTCATAAGAGAGTTAATGTTCTTGAAAATTTGTTTTTATTTCTTTTTGCAGATAAGTCGATAGTTAAGTCTGATACGGAATGGTTCTTCTTTTGTTCCCGAGGCAAAAAGTATCCACATGGGTCACAGAACAGGAGAGCAACAAAGATGGGATACTGGAAAGCCACTGGGAAAGAACGTGATGTGAAGTCTTCTTCTCAAGTCATTGGGACAAAGAGGACGCTTGTCTTCCATATCGGTCGTGCACCAAAAGGCGAAAGAACAGAGTGGCTTATGCACGAGTACTGCATGAAAGGTGTTTCTATGGTAAGCTCTCTTCTATGACAACTGTTTCGTTATTAAACATTACATAAAGTAGTAACTTTGGTTGCTTTGCGATGTTTTGGTCTTTGGCTCGAGTTGATTGTTTTAATGTGACATTCTAGGATGATGCTATGGTTGTTTGTCGGCTTAAGAGGAACAAAGAGTTTCATAGTTGTACAAGTCAGAAGGCACCAGAGCCAGATTTAGCAGCCGACAAGCACATGATCTTGCAAAATGGTGCTGCTGCTAATTCTGGAAGCTTGACTGATTGGGACAGCATGGTTGATTTTTACCTTGCTGGGGAATCAGGGGAGGAGCTTCTCAATGAGATGGCAGAAACAGCAGAAAATCTACAGGTTTGTCCACTCTCTCTCAAGGCTGAACCTAAGATTTAGAGGCCATAAATGTTCAATAGTAAATCTTAATAAATAAAATAGCCCTAGGACTTGCCCTGAAATAAATTTGTGTAGGTAGATGATTTATAGTAAATATTTCTATGATTAAAAGAAACAATTTTAGAGGTTTGTGTCTATGTATTTTGTTTTCTCCCTCTGTTTCAGTTTACATGAGAAATTTTTTCGTTTCAAACTAATTGTCGATACAGAATTATTAATTTTATATATTTTTCTATTTTCTTATTAGTTTAAATGTGGTTAAGTATGTAGGTAATTATGTTTTTATTTTGAAAATATGTAAAACTATTTTGTTATTAGTTTAAATGTGGTTAAGTATATAGGTATTATGTTTTTATTTTGAAAATATGTAAAACTAAATGTTTTCTTAATGCGTGCGTAAAAACCTAAAACGATAACTAAAATGAAACGGAATGAGTAAGTTATATTAAGTTATATTGCTGTTTGTACTAACGTGAAACGTAGCGTATAATGAATGGTTCTTGATTAATGTAGTTGTTAATGAAGTTTTGTGTGCGTGTGTGTGTTTAGGTGCAAACTGAAGAGGATTTCTTTGCCGATATCCTAAGGGACGAAATAATCAATGTAGATGAAGCGGTCACCACGGGGAACATAGCTAACGAAGTGCCAACACTTGAATCAGCATCAAAGGCTATAAGGGTACTTCCTTTACCAAACATAATAGACAAGCAGATGACTTCACTGTTAGAGGAAAAACCATCACAGGAGAAGGAAGGAAAAGGGAGCAGTGGGACAGATCAGTTATCGAGCTGCTTCATGGGGATATACTCGATCAAGACTGTGAATAGGGCACGATGGGACGTGATTATATGTGTTGTGGGTCTCATTGTAATGTTGTTTTATCTAGAGTAAGGCTATATATGGAAAGATAGTAAGAACCGATGTCATGTGTTGTTCTCGATGTTGAGAAAAAGAACATATATCCTGTCTGAAGTTTTTTTGTGTGATAGGCGGTTTATGTTTCGAGATTTAAATGTCTTTTACTTCAAATCTGTCCGTTTTATTGATCTGATGTTAAATCTAAATCTGCTTTTGTAACACTCTGAATATTGTTGATCAACTGAGCTGGGAGGTTCAGGCAAAAATGCAAAGGGAAGAGACACCAATAAACATCGTACAAAGAAACAGACTCCAGAGAGTTCAAGTACGACCTCAAAAACAGAGTATGAAGAAAAATCACATAACTATTCCGACAGGGAAGTCAGAGAGATAAGTTGTTGTAGCCAACCTAAAGCCATTTCCTCAATGTAACATATTAAGACTGGCACTGGAATGCTTATTTATGATTGGGATGCTAATTTATGGAAACAAAAATTGTTTGGAATGCATTTTTATAGGATTTCAAAAATGCATGCCAGCTACAATAAAATAAATAAATCACTTCCAAATATTTTAGTTTTAGAAGGAAACTTAAAAATATCGTAAAATTCATTATTTTTACTCAATACAACAGCTGTGTATTATGCATGGAATGTGTAATTTTTTTATTTCACTACTAAATCTAGTTTTGTTCTTATTTTATACATCATTCTATTTTTTTCTATTCTAGAAATTATTATTTTTATACAGTATATACTTTTTAACCATAATTCATTACAGCTTAATATTTATTTACCAAAGTGTTGGTACACCTTAGTGATAATATAAGAAGTTAGTTGATTCTCTTGTTTTACCATCTTGGGTACAAAATGCTATTTTTAATTAGATTTCTCAAATGTTGGATCAGATTTATAGACTTGAGATCTATAAATAAAATAGTAAAATATGTATACTTATTAATTAAGAAAAAAATGTGTAAATAATATTAGGTGTGTTAAATCACAAATTGATAAACTATGGGGGTAATTTTGTAAATTCCGTCCTTTTTGTTTGTTAAATCCGTACTATTCTATGAAGAGTGAAGACGGTTGCGCCAAGGTTGTAGATTTGTACCTCCCCCGCCGTTAAAAAAAAACCTCTGCTTTGCGTTTCTTCCTCTCTCGAAACCGTTTTGGAGAAACACACAAAAACAAACAAACTTTCACTGCCTCGTTCGATAATGAAGTTTGGTTTCACTCTTCAATCTCGATCTGTAATCCTCTCGTTACCTCTTCGGTTGATGATATTAATTTAATTTTGTGTTATAATCGAATTCTTTTAATCACTAGGTTGGTAGCTTATTAATTTAATTATTAGTTGCAGATTATGGAGATCCGTGTTGAATTTGAATAGAAGAAGCTCACAATTATTTGTGATTAGATTGTTTCTACTTTTGGTTTTCGTTTAGAGATTATTGACTTTGGATAATAGGTGAATTAAAGTCAAATTATAAGTTTTGACCTTTTGATTAGGTGTGATGGTTCATGGATGTGTGGTGTAATGTGGTAAACAAAAAAAAATGTCGAGGCCGGTGATGATCGTCTTTCTTCTGGTTTTACTGATAATCACCTCTCAATTTGAGTGGAGGCAACCGCTTCTTGAGCTTGATGCAGCTCCTAGCCTGTCTCGGAAACATCAGCAAGTTGCAAAGAGGGAAGAAGCTGTCAAAGAGAAGGTACTGTGTTTTGCTGTGTTCACATCATAACTTGTTAGAGATTGTGACTTTATCGACTGGTGTTACATTTAATTTAAGATGAGATATACATAGAGTCAGTTTTGTCTTATGATTCAGATCATCTTGTCACAAGAGAGACATATCCAGAGGCTAAGTGACCTTGTACGAAGTCTTCAAATGCAGTTACTACGATGCCGAGGAGAGAACGAGACACGAAACGCCACTGAAACGTTCCATCTCAATAAACAGTTTATTGAGCTCGAGAGGAAACACATTTTGGAAGACTAATTTGACCCAAATGGTACCGTACAAAGATATTCTAGTGTGTAATGTACTTTGTTATGGTTGATGCTATTATTAGCAAAACATATATACACACATGACTATTGACATAATCTATAACATGTGTGTGTTTGTATAGTCAAACATTTGGGTTTTGTTGTTAGGTTTTACTTTGAATTTAGGGTAACAAAAGTCTACGATGACATAATCTTATGTCATATCATGAGTCTTCCAAATCTATTTGCAATTTTGTACATATGTTTCATGATTCCATCAGTCAGAGCCTAAATCTCACCAACCACACTCCATCATTGTTGGCCGTGCGTCTAGCTGTCCAAATTCACATTCACCAATATTGATCAATTTTTTCAACAATTGTTTGATGCGATGCTTTGAAATATTCTTTGAAAAATCATCAGATTAGTTTTTACACGGGATATATATCATCGTCTAATCTCAAATTCTATTATAAATGATTATACATTATTTGTAACATATGCATTGATAAAACAATTCCATAGAAATTTTTATGATGAAGCTATTTTCGTTATATTCGGATGGTCAAACAGTTCTTCATATAAATTTTTATTTATTTATAAGCAATAAAATGATTATGAATCGTTATACTAGTCATGAAAACATGTTTCTTCAATTCTCATGCCATAATAATATCATATCACCTGCCCATATAACTTATTTTTGTTTTTGTCAAACACCTATTTAGCTACATTATTACCTTGCAAGTTCGAAACAAATGGCCTATTCCTTATTTCCTCTCTCAATTTGAATTTTCATGATAAAAAATGAAAAATGGAAAAGGACAAAATATCTCGTTTGTATTTATCCCAATACTATTTGGTAATAAATGCAATTTCAAAGGCCAAGTCATATACTCCATCTTCTTAATAGTAAAATTTTTCAAATCACATTTATTGCTATAAACATCTCATTTTTGTAAAAAAAAAAGGGTCTCATGCCTATTTATTTTGATAGCTAGATAAAACTAATCCTACTAACTAATTAATATGCATTCAATGAAACCTCTCTCATCTTGTGTGTCTATCTGCCTATATATAACAGCAGCCAGTAACATGAAGACCTCAAACTTTCTTCATTAACTCTCAAGAACAAGAATAAGAACAAGAACAGGTTTACCAAGGTGAGCTTACTTTGAAAAAGATTCAAGTAATTTTGCTGAAATATTGTTATTTTGATCTTAACTTTTTGATTGATAGACAAACAAGTCATTCGATTGATCAATTTCTACTGTGTTTTCGTTTTCATGATATATATACCCTCTCAGCCTCTATCGCAATTTTTCTAACGCAAGCATTGTTTTTTTTTTAAATTCAGGTTCTTATATATAGAGCAAACATATTATTCTTGGAAGGCAAGAAACATGAATCAACAAGAAGCTGAGAGTACACTTGGACTTGATCTGAAACTAAATATAATGGATTCATCTTTGCCCAGAGAGAGCCCATCTTCATCGTTATGCTCGGAGGAAGCTGAAGGTGGAGGAGGAGAGGCTGTGGTTGTTGGTTGTCCTAATTGCATCATGTACATCATCATGTCTTTGGAGAGTAACCCTAGATGCCCCCGATGCAACAGCCAAGTTCTGCTTAATTTTCTCACAGGAAACTATAGCAAGAAGAATAGTAATTAAGAAAATGCCACTTAAGCATGTTCTTTCCTTCTTATTTTTCTTTTCTTGTTTAATTGTTGCCACATATATTGATAGTTCAAATCATACGTGATACGACGCACGGATGTGTTCATAAAACATAAATATATATATATATATATAGTCATATACACATTTGTTTTCCAAAAATTGTATTATTGTGCGATGAATAATTATTATTCATTATTACGTCGATAACCATTATAAACTAGTTTCGTATAGCGGTTTTTACCAAAATAAAAATGTTTTTAGCGATGAAATTATGGATATAAATTACGGATGATACTCTTCAAAACAATGATAATATTCCTTTTTGGGTACTAGATATTTCCTGACTATTGCAATGAATAATAATTTTATAAAAGGAAATTAGTTGTTGTTGACTTGTTATAAGTTATAAGTTCAATGTACTTGTACGTGACATAACTACGTGTTTAATATGAAAAACTAGATTTTGACCCGTGCGTCCGCACGGGTATAGTTTTTGAAAAATATATTATTATTATTATTTTATATTATTATTATATATTATATAATTGAATATTATTTTATATGTGTTATTATATATGTAATCATATAATTAATAGTATTTTATACGAACCACCATATAAATTAGGGTTGAATTTGCGGATCGATCCGCTCTGCTGCGTGTTGAATCATTCTTTTGATTCAAAACATTGATCCACTTGACCCGCAAGTAGAAAAAAATATACTTGCACCCACTTCGTTTAAATTTATGGATAACCAAAAGATCCTCGAATAACATTAAAATAATTATTTTTTATTTTCTTAAAACTAAAATAATATATTCTAATTATCCTTTTTTATATTCATAATTTTAATTATTTTTAAAATAAAACCATTTATAAAATAGAATTAAAAAAAATATATTTTTGAGGATTGATGGGTATCCGCAGTTTAAATTCGACCGATCCACACCCACTCCACATAAAATATACTAAATCCGCACCCGCAGTTTCAAATCTGTTGATCTTCACCTTCCGAGTGGACCATGTGTAAAGAGTCAAACTCACAAATTTAATATAAATCACATATATTATATTTTAATTTTTTTTTGCGAAATATAAAAACCACAATATAAATTGGTGTTTGAAATTGGGCTTGTATTGTATTTTTCTTATATATATTGAAAACTTTTTTTTATAATCACTATTGAAAAATATTTTAGTAAAAATTAATTTTTGAATATATGTATATTTTAGAATCAAATTTGGATATAAATTAATTTTAAATTATTCTTTTGATTNTTTTTTTTTGCGAAATATAAAAACCACAATATAAATTGGTGTTTGAAATTGGGCTTGTATTGTATTTTTCTTATATATATTGAAAACTTTTTTTTATAATCACTATTGAAAAATATTTTAGTAAAAATTAATTTTTGAATATATGTATATTTTAGAATCAAATTTGGATATAAATTAATTTTAAATTATTCTTTTGATTTGAAATATATATATAAAGTTTAATTTTTGTATTCTGATTATTTAAAACAAATGATGTTTTTAGATAATTAGATTGGCCCATTTGTATATATTGTAAAACTGGCTCAAATAGATAGTTTATTATAGAATTTTCAATTTTTCATAATAACTAAGCCCATTTTTTCTTAATATACTGTAATTCATGTTGCCAAACAACAATATATTCTTTTTATTAAATGTTATCTATGTTACCAAACAACTCTCAAATGTACTTCAGTTTTAATAATATAGACTAGATTTTGACCCGCGCTTCGAAAGCGCGGGTTTTTGTTAGATTATAAATAAATTTTGATATGATTTAGTATTTTAGAATTGATGTACATTATTATGCTACAAATCTTATTATATAAAATAGATTTTTTTGAAAAATTATGTAATTTATAAATTAGTTTATTTGAGATTTTATATGTAAGTTTTTAATGTAACTCTCTCTAGGTCTTGACATTTTATCCGGATCGAAAAACACGACCAAACCGACCCGAAAATATAGGTTCGGTTAGGATCCATGATAAAGTACTTACTGGCTATCTTTAAATACCCGCAGGAATCGATTCTAGTATGGATCATAACCGAGACCCGATCGGGTACATCAAAGTACTCAAATTTTTTTTATTATATATGTTTGGATATTTCATATATGTTTTTGGTATTATGTATATTCTTTTAAGTTTTAGTTACAGTTTTAGTTTTCGGGTTCTACAATATATATATATATATATATATATATCTCTCTATATATATATATTTTTTTTTTTTGGATATTCAAATCAAAGTTTTGGGTATATTTTGTTTTCGAGTCAGATTAGGTAAAATTCAAGGTTTTCAGATATTTGAATATATTTTGAGTATTTATTTATGGTTTGAAGTATTTTTCAAATATTTTTCGGGTTTATTGGTACTTTGAGTCCTAACTATCCAAACCTACCCGCTANGTAATGTATAATAAATAAGAATATTGACTAATTTATTGTTAGAGAAATATAAGGTAAGTTATATGATATAATGTTATTGTATAATATTGTTAGAGAAATATAAGGAAAAATAAAAAAAAATGTTAGTATAATGAAAGGGTCCAAACAACTTTTTTAAGTAGATTTATTTAGACTCCTTCTCTTTTAATAGTATAGATGTGGAACAATGACTTTTTTCTTTTCCTTCATGTGCACCTAGTAACTCTAGCTTTAAAAGATAAGTATATACACACATCATACATCAGATAATAAATAGGTTTGGTTTACTTGTTACAAAAGTTGTTGAACTAACATATTAAATGTCTAAAAAATCTTGAAGAAGAGTTGTTCTTATTATGAATGTGAAAAACTTCACCTAAACTTACTATAAAAATGCATGTTGGTTTTCACATTAATGTCGGATTCAGCATTACGTGTGATTCATTCCTTTCCCAACTATCAAAAGAAACAACACGTATCATCTAACAAAATTTGATTTTTCCAATAAGTTTTAAAACTATTTTTTTCGGTTAATCGAAGAGGTTGGTCTCAAGCCTAACTAATTTTAAGAAAAAAAGTATCGACGACTAGTTTATACTTTATCCTTGGGGTTTTAATATAATCTAAGACATGGTTGGCAAAGATATTACTTGTTCCAATCAGAAAGTTAGACAAAATAACATATTAGTGATTTCTAATACGCTTTCATTTCATTCACTATTTTCTTTATCCATATTTTTTTGAGTGGTCACCAATCGATCGTAGACACCAACTTATTTTGAGTCTCTTTTGTTTTATCCATAGTTACAGTGAGTTCAATAATTGTATAATTATGATAAGGCCAAATACAAAAGATTCCTATGAAATGGCATAGAAGGGAAACAAAAGATTGATGTTAGATGGGATTGTAGGAATGATTGATGTGATGAAGTATTATGATGATGAAGATAATAATAAGAAGGATAAAAGGATTGAGTGTGAAGTATTATGATGATGAGAGAGGACGGTGAGTTGTGATATATGTGAAGTATGGCAACACACAAGGTGTTAAAACCCGAATATACATCCTTTAAGGTATAACTTTGAGATCACAAGGAAGATTGTAAATCACAATTCACTCATCCTCGTCTAAAACTGGAATGCATAATTCACTTCTTTGATTTTTATATATATTTCTTAAATGGTTCACATATAATCTTGCATGATGGAATCATAAAACATACTGTATATAGTAAAAGAAAACTAAAATAAAATCAAATTATTCACAATATTGTAAAAACACATTCATGAGGATCCGTTTCTCATCTTAAGGGAGGAGGTTTGGTGTGAGTCATTATCATTATCATCAACAGGATTAACATAAAGACGAAGCAATCTCCCAAGTGAGTTTCCACGGCGGTTGTGTGGTGGCCGAAGAAGTGAACAGACGTCCACAAAAGCACGTACGATTAGATTGTGTTGAGGAGGAGGGTTAATGTCCAAGAAACACCTAAGAAGCTCCTTAAGATCATCATCTGTTTCAATATCTCTCTCCTTGATCATCTGATCCATGGACTTCTTGTAATCTTCGAATGGATTGGTTGATTCTTTAGCCATTGCGACGCTCTCATCAATCTTAAGACATGGGCTACGTAACACCGTGGGAGAAACTGGTAGTCCTGGCGTATAGTGGCTGTGAGATGAAGGAGGGATGGCGGAGCCGCAACCACATGGCATGAATATAGTTCTGAGTGTATATTTCATCTTCTTCTTCAAATGCATTTTTGTTTAAAGAGAGGAAGGAAAGGAAGTTGAGATTATTGAGTGAAGAGGTTGTAGGTTTGGAAAAGGTTTGTTAAAAGAGGAAACTTTCTTTTTGTTTTTAACTTAACTTGAAGATTCAGCATTGCTCATTGCTTGGCAGATGCACAATTTTGATGGGTTTTTCTCCTTTCTGTAAGAAAATTAATTCGATATGATTGGGTTAAGTTAAAGTTATTGTGTACGTCATGCTATCATTTGGAACTAACTACCCTCTTGTGTTCTGGTGTTTCCCTTAACTTTTTCAAACCAAAATCAAATAAAATTTTACTGAGAATCTCTCTGCACACAAATTCAAACATAAAAAGAGTATTTATCATAGTTTTTGCTGTTAATGGATTTTAAAACAGGAATAATATACTCATGAACTACAAACTCGTTTACTTATTTAAAAAAATAAGCATACTCGTTTTCTAATTTATTTATAAAACAGTAAAATATGCAATATAAGAGTAATTATAGAATATGTAATATAGACATATAGTGTGCTGAATTATAATATGAATTAAAATAATCATTTATGAAGCTGAATATAAAAGAAAACAACTTTGAAATTAATGACAGAAACAATGAAGTTTACAAGGCAAAATATTTCAAGCTTAAACTGTAATTGACCCCTAAGAAAACAATGAAGTTTTTTTTCCTCATACGTCCACGGCACATTTCTGACCAATCTGATCCTTGATCGCCGGACCGGCGCCTGCTAACTGGCCGGAGAATGGAATGGCCGCCGGACAATTGACAAGAAGCCTATAACATCCAGATACCCATATGCCCACTTTCCACTTAACGCAACCGTCCATCTTGATGTTTAGAAGCACCATCCCAGCATTAATGTCTTCGTTCAGTGCTGGAGTCAGGTAAGGCTCCACTGACACGGCGGATCCAGTCAGAACCGGTGACCATACCGTCACATCCAAATGTCCTTGATACGTTTCCGGCAATAGATGTGCCAAAGTCACCTGAATAATTATTAGGACACATAAAGGTTAATAAAATTATCCAAACATTTGTTAGAAAATGATTCTTAAATATTGTCTAGACATACATTGAGATGTGTCATGTTTTGCGGTCTAAACGTTAAAATTTTACTGGTCCATAATCATTGCACAAACCAATAGATGAATGGATAGTAATATGCACATAAAAATTGCATTAAAATGCAAAACGATACCTCTTGGTTGCGGTACGAGGCATAGATGTCTAGGCGCTCATACAAAATCCCGATCTTGTCGTTTGGGTTGTGAGAAGAGAGAGTGACTTGGAGATTTGAAGAGAGCAGATTTGGCTGTGAGATGTTGAACTCGTAAATGGTAACGTCTTGTAGGACAAAACGCGGTTTGTGCGGACGAAGTATAACCCACACCAAGAAAATCACAAACGCAACCAAAACGACCAGACCCGTAAATCCGTATACTATGCGTTTTGTCGCCTTGTCCACATATTTGTTGTAGTCGCACTCGCACTTCTTCTCCTTCTCCTTCTCCGTCATTGTAGCGTTTGGTTGCGTTCAATGTTTTGGTTACAAAAATATTTGTTTGTTTGGTGGGTGAAGAGATTGGACTAAACTGTAATGGAGTTCTGATGGATATTTATTCTGTGAAATGGAGCCGGTTAATGTAAATATATCGTAATAAATTTTTCCTTTTGTCGTGACAATTTATTAATTAATTCTGTATTTCTATTTAAACCATATTAATACTAAGTTATCATCCACCTAAATTCCTGAAACTCTTTTTAATAGGTTTCTTAAATTTAACTTTATAATAATCAATTTGGGAAAACTGTTCTCAGCAAGTGATCTGATGTATCATATAAAATATATGTTTTGACCAAAAATGTTCTGTTAAGGCAATAGTTTATAACAAAATGATTGGAGTGTCCTCTTTACATTCATTATAGATCGCATAATATTTTCCTCTTTTGAACTACTACCAATGATAAAAGATCTTAAGAGTCAATTACATTGTTATGATTTATTAAGAATAATATTTAGTACTTCTATATAAAATTTACCATCACATTTTTTGTTAATTATTATCTCAATATGAAGAAGATCAAGAGATGTTTCAAAAAAAAAAAAAAAAAAAAAAAAAAAAAGAAGATCAAGAGAATATTTTTGAATGATTCATGGAAGATTAAGATACCTATAAACTTATTTATGGTGAATTAGGCCTGGGCATATTTCCCGGATCCGAAGATCCGAACCGGTACCGATCCGAAAAATCGGGTTTCGGGTCGGATCTGGATATGAAAAAATACCCGATTGGATATGTTTTTATTTATGTTTCGGGTACCGGGTCGGATCGGGTATTACCCGAGATCCGAATAATTATCCGAAACTATCCGACTCTTATCTCATTAAGGCATTAAACATAGATTCACATGGTATTACTCTTGTAAATGTCTGAAGTTCTTGTGATCGTACTTTTTTTTTAAAGTAGGTGAAATGCGTTTAGCAATATACCAAATGTTGTTGATCTTCTTCTTATACATTTTCTTATAGATTTATTTCAAACTTTCAATTATTCTTAAAGTGATGGGTTGTTATCTTTGATTGAAATATTAGATTTGTTGTTTGTTTGAAATTTGTTTAAGACTTGTCTATTTGGTTTTAGAATTCTCTCATTTATTTTTTACTCTAAATGATTCGGGTAAATCGGATTACAAAAAGTATTTTTAGTTATGATCGGGTAAAATTAAGAGAATCCGAACCGGAACCGGATTTTTTTTGGTTACTTCGGATATACCTAAAATTATCCGGATCCGACAAGTACCGAACCGAATCCGATCCGAAATTTTGAAATACCCGATCGGATCCTATTTTGCCATATCCAAAATATCCGATATCCGAAATATCCGATCCGAACCCGATCCGGTACCCGAATGCCCAGGCCTATGGTGAATAGTGTGAATGTTGATTGATTTCCTATGAACAAATGATTACATGTATATATGTATAGGATTACGTTGAGGATATTAGGTATCAACTAATTAAAAGAAAGACCTTAAACTCACATCTTTATACATAGCTAGCTCCCTTGTGAGTACACGATTATCTGTTGCTTATTTAAACTTGACATTTTGTAAAGCAGAAACGAAAGATAATCTTCTCAATTTTCTCATGGCTTCTGATCACATTTCGCCACTGATTTAGACATTTGAATAAAGTTAATATTTTTTTAAAAAATATATAAAATAATATGAAAACGATGTTGTTTTATATTATTTTGCTAAAACTGCTAAAATTTTGTCATTTAGACTTTAGAGTGTGGAAAAAAAATTAGTAATCTATGAATAGCTTTTGTTTTCGGGCCCAATAGTGTCCAAACTCAAAGGCCGAAGTTTCCATCACTGAAGGAAAATTGAAAAAGCGTTATTCCGCCGCCACTGAAGTATTCGATGATGTAAGCACAAAGGAAGCTCCAAGTGAGATTCTTCGGACAGAGGTATCTGATTGTCACTAAACACGTCAATCACAAATCCCTTTTCCTCTCTGACAATCTTTGTACTCTCTTTCCATATATATATTGAATCTTGGATTCTATTTCCAAGAACAAGAAAACACCTTACTAACAAAATAAAGAAGAAGAAGATCAGTCAAATATACAAATATCTAAAATGGCAGGGATAGTATCTGCGTCTAAACAAGGAAAGAGAGTGGTGGTGATCGGCGGTGGAGTCGCCGGCTCCCTCGCCGCTAAACTGCTTCAGTTAGATGCTGACGTCACTCTCATCGACCCGTAAGTTCTTTTTCTTTCAGTTTCTCAAATCTCAGATCATCTTCACGAGCTAAAAGTCTTGTCCAAAATCATATGATAAAACCAGGAAGGAGTACTTTGAGATCACATGGGCGAGCTTGAGATCCATGGTGGAGCCATCATTTGCGGAAAGAACAGTCATCAACCACCAGAACTACTTGAAAAACGGCAGTGTTGTTACTTCTCCGGCCATCAACATCACGGAGAGCGACGTAATGACTAAAGACGGAGATGTGATTGGATATGATTATCTAGTGATTGCTACGGGTCACAATGACTTGCTCCCCAAGACCAGACAAGAGAAGCTCTCCCAATACCAAGCAGGTATGGTCTAGCTTAAGACACAAACAGAGCCGGACCTGAGATTTTGGATCCTAGACGATTTTTAAAAAATTTCAACTAAAATATTTTTCTTAATTAATTTGGGAACATAAATTCTTTTTTTTTTGGACCTATATGCATATAATTTTTTTCAAAATTTTCGGAGACTTGAGGTGAATGTTTTTAAGACCGGCCATGGACACAGGGCGGGTCCTAAGCATAAGCGGGTGAAGCATTGACTATATGTCCTCAATTTATAAAAAAAAATTATATAAACTCTTACTAAATTGTCTATAGCTCTTAAAATCAAGTACTCAATGTTTTGGAATAAAAAATGTATATAGGTCCTAAATTTGAAAAAAAAAATTTAAAACTCTTACTAGATTAAAATCTCAAGGCTAGCTTTGGACACAAGCTAGGTATTGTCTTAAGCAATTTTACAATTGATCTTGTTTTTGGTTTCAGAATATGAGAAGATCATATCTTCTCAATCAGTTCTGATTATTGGTGGAGGACCATCAGGCGTGGAGCTAGCTGCAGAGATAGCAGTTGATTTTCCGGAGAAGAAAGTCACGTTGGTGCACAAAGGACCAAGGCTGCTTGAGTTTGTTGGAGAAAAAGCTGCTGACAAAGCATTTGACTGGTTAGAGTCAAAGAAAGTGGAAGTGATACTGAACCAGTCCGTGGATTTGAGTTCAGCTTCAGACGGAAACAAAACATACAAGACTTCAGGAGGAGAAACTATACACGCAGATTGTCATTTCCTTTGTGTTGGGAAGCCTCTGGCTTCTCGATGGCTCAGTGGAACTGTTCTGAGAGATAGTTTGGATGGTAAAGGAAGGGTCATGGTCGATGAGCACTTGCGGGTTAAGGATAGAAAGAATGTTTTTGCCATTGGAGATATCACTAATATCCCGGTAAGCAGAATCGGTTATGGACATAGCAAAGTGAAACATTGGTTTTGGATCCCTAAATTTTTTTACATTAATAGATATGAACAAAGACACCTAAATTATTTTTTTTAAATTACTAAATTGCTTAAGTTTCTTGAAATTCAAGTTTTATTGGCATTGCTCTTGGCTAGTATCTTGTTTTGGTTATATGATTTTTTGTAATGGCAGGAGATGAAGCAAGGATATATAGCGGAGAGTCATGCTAATGTGGCTGTGAAGAACATAAAAGTAATGATGTCTGGAGGGAAAAAGAAGAAGTTGTCTACATACAAGCCAGGACCAGAGATTGCTATTGTGTCTTTAGGAAGGAAAGACTCGGTGGCTCAGTTTCCGTTTGTTACAGTGGTTGGTTGCCTCCCTGGTTTGATCAAGTCCAAAGATCTGTTTGTAGGGAAGACTAGGAAGGCAAGAGGGTTAAGTCCTAAACTTGTATAAGGTTGAGTCATTTAGTGTGTCTCAGATGTTTCATCTTGAGAGAGATAGAGATGCTTTTGTGCACATATGTAATCATGGTTGTGTTTGTTTGTGTCTGTGTTGGTCTCATTTATTGTTTCAGTGTGGAGTGTTGGTTTGCTTATGTTGTTTGTGTGTATTTTGATGTATAATAATGGTATTATTTTGAGTTCCAGTTTTCTTTCACTTGTGATTTTAAATTTTCTTGCTTTAGGAAACTAAACCGGGAAAATCCATAAGAAAGTTATTATACTTTTGAACTGAAATTAACTATACACCAAACCGATGTGGTTCATGGATTTCAATATCAAATCGGATTAGTGATATCAAATCCAGTTGTTTTCACACATATTTATAGACTCGATTTTATAACAAAACAAAAATTTTTTTTTATAAATTATGTGTTAAATATATATATATATATATATAAATTTTGAAAGAAAACTGAAAACCTATGAAATAATAATTAAATTTGTAGTCATATTTAAAAACTATTCAAAATTAAACTATTAAAATTGAATGACTTATAATTTCTTTTAAAATATAGTATAAATTTTATATGAACTTTTCTTAAGTAAAATACATAAAAGAAAAAACGTTCTTGGCATTAGCTACTATAGCCTGCTATTAATTACCTTAATAATAACCAAAAAATCTCAAAATGTCGAACCAAACCTGGTTTAGTTATAATCTAATTAAACCAAACCTAACCGACAAAAATCAAACAAAAAACCAGAAAGAAAAATCTAAATCGAAGCATTGTTATAGATTGAATCGCCGACGATCTCCGGACGGAGCCATACACCGGCGACTCCAACCATCCCTGTAAACCCCTACAACTTTCTCTCGAAGATCCAAACAACATAAGAGTCCTGAAAAGGTGAACCCTTTCTTCCTTTTCTGAGTCCAAAGTCTGAAGATTTCAGAAAAAAACAAAAAGACATGTCCCGTCGTTCAGACAAGACTGATGAATCACCAAAACGTAACTCTCTACTCTTTGTAACTCCACAATAAGATTTTTTATGTTTTGGGTAAATCGAAAGCTCCATCCTTTCTTTCTTTGCCTAAGGAATGATGAATCTGATGAGTTTCAACACTCTGCTCGTATCCTCCATGCTCCTCCGCGTCTTCTTGATCATCTACGGAGAGTGGCAAGACGCTAACATGGAAGTCCGTTACACCGACATCGACTACATTGTCTTCTCCGACGCTGCCTCCTTGATGGCATCTGGTGAATCTCCTTACAAGAGAACCACTTACCGTTACTCACCTCTCCTCGCGCTTCTTCTCGTCCCCAACACAATCATCCATCGTTCTTGGGGAAAGTTTATCTTCTCTGCTTCTGGTATATATATATATATGCTTCTCTCTCACCCTTAAAGGTTTCAACCTGTTTGTTGTTGTTCTGAATCTGTTTGTGGTTGTCTTTTAGATTTGCTGGTGGGTTTGTTTATCCGTAAGATTTTGAAACAGCGTAAGGTGTCTGAGAAGGTTTGTACTGTTTCTGTAATGGTATGGCTTCTTAATCCGTTTACGTTTACGATTGGAACCAGAGGGAACTGTGAACCTATTGTTTGTGCTATGATACTGTGGATCATCATCTCCTTAATGAAAGGTATTACTACACCACACATATTTCAAATTTAAAATGAATGCAGTGTTCTAAAAATCGGTTTAGGCATCCGCTTAGTCGGCAAATCGGAACTAAACAAAACGATTTTTCTAGTCGCTTTAGACGCCCGCCTAATCAATAATTTCATATAAAGTGCCTAACAGCTGCCTAGCGGTTTTTTGAACATAAACAATACGGTTTTTATAAAAGGTGAAAAAATCGGTTTAGACGCCCGCCTAATCAATAATCTCGTATAAAGCACCTAACGACTTTTTTTAACTTTCTGTAGCTCTTTTATAGCAAGACATAGTAAAAGTGTGTTTTTACTGTGTAGGTAATTTGTCACAAGCTGCATTTTGGTATGGGCTTGTTGTGCATTTCAGGGTGTATCCTATCATCTATGCCTTACCAATCATTCTAGTTCTCGACTCCAAGATTTTTAGATCTGATCACAAACCTCCTCCTCTTGAGGATTGGAACACTGGTCAGGTCAACACTGAGAAGAAAACATTCAACTTAAAAAGTTTGTTTTCAAGGGAGAGAATCATGTTTGGTTTGATATCCGGTGGAGTTTTTCTAGCTTGCAATGCTGTTTCCTTCTATTTTTATGGACATGAGTTCCTCCACGAGGCTCTCTTGTATCACCTCACACGCACGGATCCAAGACACAACTTCTCAATCTACTTTTACCACATTTATCTTCACTACGAGCGTCAGTTTTCACCTCTGGAGAAGCTTATCTCGTTCTTACCTCAGTTCACAGTACAGCTTGCTTTAGTCTTCTGCTTCTATCAAGATCTTGTGTTCTGTATGTTTCTCCAAACCGTTGCGTTCGTGGCTTTCAATAAGGTGATCACTGCGCAGTACTTTGTGTGGTTCTATTGCCTGTTGCCTCTGATTCTACCGTGGAGCCGTATGAAGCTGAAATGGGAAGGCTTGTTGTGCGTTATTCTGTGGATTGGAGCTCAGACGTATTGGCTTTTATGGGGATATATGCTTGAGTTTAAGGGTGTTAACGTCTTTCTACAGCTGTGGATGGCGAGTTTGGTGTTTCTGGCTGCAAACACATTTGTTCTTGTCAAGATCATACAGCGACATAGATTTTCTCCTCTCTTCAGACAGTATGTGTCCTCTGATAGAAAGAATGTTAAGAAACTTGACTGATAGTACTGTTCCAAAAGCTGTTTGCTTTGTTTGTTTGTTGGGTTATTTTATATATTGAGGACCTTGGAACTACGGTGTATATGATTCTTGATCTGCAAGTTTTGCTGGTGTATTAGTTTGTTTGAAAAAAGAAAAATTCAAACAAGACATTTTTAACATACCTAATCCACATTCTATATCAAAAGTAAATGTTTGGTTTCTAAGAGTACATGAAATCTTATGAACACATAAAAATAGTATTAAAGCACAAAAAAAAAACATTAAAAAGATGCAAACAGCCCCCACAACTTCTCTGTTATCAATCTTTGGAACACACACCGTACTCCACGTTTCTACAAAAAAAAAAAAGGAAGATGAATTGATTATAAAACAAGATGCTATACATAGGATATGACAATAAAATCAATTAACTTACTCAAGTAACCCCGTGTCGGTGTCTTAAGAAATGGCACCATTAGTGAACGACACATGTAACTCTGATCTTGGTGTCGTAACCTCGAGATATTCTGGTGGATAATACTCAATACCAACTCGGCCAACAGTAATTTGGAACGAATAAGAGCTTTCTGCAAGGTCATCTTCTCTATAATAAAAGGGATCCACATCGTCCTCGCTACACTTTGGTACTACTTTCTCCTTGCGTGGTGGCACATTACTATCCAAAGGCCTATTATTGTCACCTACTGATGAGTTAGTTATTCCCAAGTTGTGTACGAGCAACACCCACAGTGCTCAATAGAATTTCGTCTTCGGTCCATTCCCAGCTTAGAGCCCATGGCCCTTCAGTGTCGTGATTCTTCGAGTAGTCGATGATTGTGACATTAGCTGAGTAGCTGCCACGAGTTTCATTCATGATGTCCCAACTTATCGTCACAAACTCTCCTGGATATCTAACTATATACACGCCGAGATAAGAAAATATATATATGAATTCATGAGATTGAAACCATAGAATGAAGAATCACAGTTACATTAATTATCGTTCATACGTACGTGGAATATATCGACCCAATGAAGCCTCCACCAAAAGCAAGATAGTCATGAGAAAGAGCAGTTTAATTTGTTGTTGAGTATGCACACCACATTGTTAATCCCTTGATAGCAAAACAAATATCTTCAGGGAATTCCCTATGGAGTTTTATTAGTTTTATAAATAGAATAAGTTTTCACTTTTCTCCGGATAAGTTTTGCATGAGGTTTTGATAACCTTTTCCTAATAAGATTGGGCAAAATATTCGGGATATTTTGTTATTTTGGTTTTATCTTTTTGTTTGATATACTTTTTATTTTATGATCAAAATATTAGAACCATATAATTTTGATTTATTTTATTTCATCAATTATTTACCACTACTGAATGAGAAACAAAATCAGAAACTCCAAAAACTTATTAAATCAAGCACAATTGTTTATTTCAATAATCTGTAACCATATTCATACATTTTCTTATTTTAATCATGGATTAGGATGAATGAACTCATCTTTAAAGCTACCATAAAAAACTTTACATTCACTTGGAGGTTATTGGCTCTAGTATTTTAATAGATTTAGAAATTTTGGATAAATTCACTGATTTTTAAAATCAAACCAACAGATCTCAGAATCGATATTATAGATTTTAAAATCAAAATAAGTTAATTAATACAAATCAATAGAAAGGATTTGTACTAAGTTCAGATTTATGATAAAATAAAATAAAAATATAAAAACTAAAACATATGTTATATCTTTTGAGGTGTCCGGGTCCAGCGGTAGCCATAAAGGTTTTTGTCATGAATCGTTTGCGCCCAATCTAACCATGATATTGTCGTGTACCACCTAAGTAACCATACTTCGTTAGAAAAATATATATACATAAACAATGCCAGGTACTTATGATTCTATTGGGACGTTCAACCAAACAACATCTAATTGCAACAAATTCACGAGAAATAAGAGCTGGGCAACAATTTGCACTTTAAACAACGATTGTTGTTCTAAACAATGTCTCAACCCAAAGAAAGAATGTTCAGATAGAGAGGGAAAACAAAGCTATACAACAATATGCACATAAACTTGTCTCCAAATATCACGCGAGCATGTAATTTAAACACATCAAGTCATCGAATAATTCTTGGTCGTAAGTTTCACTTTTATCATAGATTCCATATCCATACATGCTTCCTTTCTTAAAAATAAATATTTTATGGACTAAGCGTTAATCCAACTGATATTAATAAATTATTAGACTTGCGAATGTTCTTTGATTGACGTATATATTTATGTCATTTGCACACTCTTGTATGATATAATTTTTATCATTGTCGCATCACATGAAATCTCATGAACACATAAAAATGGTGTTAAAGCACCAAAACATTAAAAAGATGCAAACAGCCCCTCAACTTCATAGATCTTCTTTGTTAATAATCTTGTGGAACTTTAGCATCCCCATCAATAAACTTATAGGAGGGGTTCACAAAAAAAAAAAATAGTTTGTTTTAAAAAATAATAATAGTAGTAGACTAATCGCGGGTCGCTATGTGACATGAGATCCATGAAACAGTAGTGATAGAGGTTTAACTAGAAGAGCCTAGACAAGAAGAGTTCATCATGGAGACATTATTATAGTGTATTTTTTTTGGAAATGTGAGAGCACCCCTCATAAACTCTTCTTGTACTCTCAATGGGGGTGTTCTTAACAGACCGCACTCCGTCATCCACGTTTCTACAATAAAAAAAAGGAACATGAATTGATTATAAAACTAGAGGTTATACATAGGATATGCCAATAAAATCAATAATCAATTAACTTACTCGAGTAACCCCGTCTCGTAGAAAATGGCATCGTTGAAAAACACATGAAACCTGATCTTGGTGTCTTAAACACGACATCTTGTGGCGGATAATATTCAGTACCAACTCGTCCAACAGTAATTTGGAATGAAGAAGAGCTTTTCTCAAGGTCGGTTTCTATACACCACGAGGGAATCACATCGTCCTTGCAACACTTTGGTACTACTTTCTCCCTGAGTAGTGGCAAATTATTATTCAAAGGCCACTTATTGTCACCTACGGATACGTCATTCCCAAGTTGTGTACCAATAACACCCACAGTGCTCAATAGAATTTCGTCTTCAAGCCATTCCCAGGTTAGTGTCCATGGCCCTTCAATGTCGTGATTCTTAAAGTTGTCGATTATTGTGACATTAGCTGAGTAGCTACCACGAGTTTCATTCATGATGTCCCACCATATCGTCACATACCCTCCTGGAAAACTATCTATATACACGCCGAGATAAGAAAAAAAAACATGTAAATTCATGAAACTGAAATCATACAATGAAGAATCACAAGTGCAATAATCATTCGTACATGGAATATATCGACCCAATGAAGCCTCCACCAAAAGCAAGATAGTCAGAAAGAGTAGTTTTGCTGTTGAGTATGCACACCACATTTCTCTTGGAGTTTTTAGTTTTATAAAAAGAACAAGTTTTCACTTTTCTCCGTATAAGTTTTGTATTAGGTTAAAAAAAAAGAGTTTTGCTTAGGTTTTGATAACCTTTTCCTAATAAGATTTGGAAAAATATTCGGGGTAATAAAGTATTTTCTTTTTAATTTATTTTGTTATTATCTTTTCTTTGATATATATACTTTTTATTTTATGATCAAAATATAGAATCACATTATTGTATATATTTTATTTTATAAATTATTAAATCAAACACAATTTTATTTATTTCAATAATCTATAACCATATTCATGATCATTCATTGAAATCATGGATTAGGATCAATCAACTCATCTTTAAAGCTACCATAAAATTTTCTACATTCACCTTGTTTGATATAAGCTTATTGTATACAGTATCAAAACCTATGTTGTGGCATCCCCAAGACTGTTTATCAAATCAAACAATGACATTTTTTTTAACATGCCTCCCTCATCTCCGGTTGATGTAATAGCATTGTCTTCTTCTTTTTTTTGCATCTTTCATTTACGTATTATGTCTAGGCCAACTCCACGAAAAGATTAAGTTTAGGAGGCCATAACAGAAAAATCATACACATCTTTTTTCGAAAATTAACAGCAGCAATTTTTTGTCCATGTGTATATTGGAGATCCCCCGGTAGAAGATTGGCTACATATCGACACAGACAAATTAATCACTGTCTGTCTCAATCTGTAATCATTCTTCTACTGAGACATCTCCAGTTGTCACAAGGGGAAAAATTGCAAATGAAATTTTCTGAATGAAGATGTGGATAAATTATCTCACATATATAGCCCTCCTAAACTTAGTGATTCTCTAGGAGTGAACCTAGACATTATAGTCAAATGAGAGGTGCAAAAAAAAGAAAAAAAAAAGAACAAGAAAAATTATATCTTGTTATCGTTTGAGGGAAATGTGATGGTAAGAAAATATGATTTTGAAGGGGTATATATTAGCATCTCATAAAATGTTGTTTATAGCACAGTATTTGTCGAAACTCGAAAGTGTGATCAGTCACGATATATGCCTTTCAAAACAACGGATTGTTTCTAATCTAACCATATGATTATCGTGCACCACCTAAACAATTGTATTTTGTTAGGAAAAATGTAAATACTTCTAATATTTAATTAAATTTTTTAATTTTAAAAGAAAGAAAAACAAAAAAAAAGCTGGATGGATACGACGTCGTCTTAGAAAAAGAAAGAAAGAAGGAGGACGTTGTTTACCCTTTGCCGCAGGTTCACTCTCTGCTCGTTTCTCTTCCGGCGGCTAGCTTAATGCTCCCTATCTCTCTGTTAAACGGTGTCGTCGTCGAAACAAACCTCTCTTTCTCGTCTCTTTCAATCCGAAAACAGCTCGTCGAAGTCGTTGTCTTCGTCTCTCTCTCTCAGTCTAAAACAAAACCTAGTCGTCTACTTCATAAAACTTCAGGTACCCTCTCTTTCTCTATCTCTCTTTCTGTCTCACTTTCTCTCTCTGTCTCGGTTATGATTTCTCTAACTCTCTTGCTCTGTCTCTATTTTTTTTTGTCTCTGTTTACTGTTTGCGTCTCTCTCTCTCTGTTTTATTGCTTGTGATAATGAATGGCGTTTGTGTCTGATGCTTTAGAGAAAAGTTATGCCTTTTCTGATACTGTTATTGAATCTCAGGTTTTACATTTGTTAGAACTTAGAAATGAATGACCTTTATAAATTGTTGCTCTGTTCTAGTTTTCTTAATTTGCTCTTTGCTCCGTCTAAATTATGAGCAGAAACTTTAACAGTTTACATCCATCTGTAAATTGATCTCATTGAATGATTAGCCTACAGAAAGGCTCGAAATTTTATACTATATATTGACTTTGCTTTTCCAGGAAACTTCAACAAATATGAGAATCCATTAGGGACCCTTATAGATTTGTATTGGCTTTGTTTTTGGAACCCTCTCATAATCATATTCTCTTTAGGAAGAAACTGTTTATGAGAGCACAAGGTTTCATGCTTTTAGCTTATCTTTTTTTTTCTTTTTTTCTTCTCTTAATGTGCTAGTAGCAAACCAACCTAGGTCCTCGTCTTCTTACATACGCTGAGTTTGAGGCCAATTGAATCTTGGAGAGACCTCGGAGATGATGGTTAAGGGAAATGATCAAAGCATCTATGTTATATGACTGATATCACTTTGAAGCCTTTTGGTGGGAGGATCATCTGAAGTTTTTTTAAGAACCCTTATTGCATGTATGTTGAGGTATAAATTGGATTTAGATATTGTCTTTCTTGCTTTATGTGTTGTTTTGATTTTTTTTTTGTTCTGTTCAGACTAGTTCCTATCTGCAAAAATGGGCGCTTTACAGTAGTTTTGAAGTCTGTTGGAGCAGTTCTCAGAGAATTCTCAGCACCTGCAAATGCTTTGCAAGATTATAGGACAGAACATGGGACTACTGGAACTCAATACGGTAAAAGGATTGACGACGTTCACATGCTTTTCAGACACTGCACTAAACTCCACTCAGCCAAATGCCTTCACGCGCGTCTCATTGTATCCCAAGCTATCCAAAACGTCTTCATCTCTGCTAAACTTGTTAACCTCTACTGTTATCTTGGAAGCCTCGCGTTGGCTAGGCACGCCTTTGACAACACCCAGAACAGAGATGTTTATGCTTGGAACGCGATGATCTCTGGTTATGTCCGTTTGGGAAGCTCTTCAGAAGCTATAAGATGTTTTAGTCTCTTCATGATGACTTCTGGACTACAACCTGATTACCGCACTTTCCCTTCGGTTCTGAAAGCTTGTAGAAGTTTGCTTGATGGGATGAAGATTCATTGCTCCGCTTTGAAGTTTGGGTTTGTGTGGGATGTCTTTGTTGCTGCGTCTTTGATCCATTTGTATTGTCGGTATGGCCCCGTGGCGAACGCACGTATGCTCTTTGATGAGATGCCTGTTAGAGACATGGGTTCTTGGAATGCAATGATCTCAGGGTACTGTCAAAGCGGAAACGCTAAAGAGGCGTTAACTCTGTCTAGAGAGCTGAAAGTTATGGATGCTGTTACTATTGTAAGTCTCCTTGCTGCTTGCACGGAGTCTGGAGATTTTGTGAGAGGAGTTTTGATTCATTTATACTCGATTAAACACGGTCTGGACTCTGAGTTGTTTGTCTCCAACAAGCTGATTGATTTGTATGCAGAGTCTGGTGACCTCAAGGGTTGCCAGAAGGTTTTTGACATGATGAGTGTGAGGGATTTGATTTCATGGAACTCTATAATTAAAGCTTATGAGCTGAATGAGCAGCCACTTAGAGCCCTTAAGCTCTTTGAGGAGATGAGGTTTCAACCAGATTGCCTCACTTTGATTAGTTTAGCTTCTATACTTGCGCAGTTAGGAGACGTCCGGGCTGGTAGATCCGTGCAGGGCTTCACGTTGAGGAAAGGATGGCTTCTGGAAGATATAACCGTTGGGAATACAGTTGTTGATATGTATGCAAAGCTAGGCCTTGTGGATTCAGCAAGAGCAGTGTTTGATTGGCTCTTAAATAAAGATGTGGTTTCATGGAATACTATTATATCTGGTTACGCTCAAAACGGTTTCGCTACTGAAGCTATTGAGATGTATAACGAAATGGAGATAACACCTAACCAAGGGACTTGGGTGAGTGTTTTGCCAGCTTGTTCTCAGTCTGGAGCGTTGCGTCAAGGCATGAAAATACATGGCCGTCTGTTGAAGACAGGTCTTTGTTCAGATGTTTTCATTGGAACAAGCCTTGCTGACATGTATGGAAAATGTGGAAGATTAGAGGAAGCACTATCTTTGTTTTATCAAATCCCAAGAGTCAATTCCGTGCCATGGAACACGTTGATAGCGTGCCACGGGCTTCACGGACATGGGGAGAGAGCCATGATGCTGTTTAGAGAGATGCTTGACGAAGGAGTGAAGCCTGATCACATCACGTTTGTAACTCTGTTATCAGCTTGTAGCCATTCTGGACTAGTAGAAGAGGGTCAACAATGCTTTGAGATGATGCAAAAGGATTACGCCATAACACCGAGTTTGAAACATTATGGTTGTATGGTAGACTTGTTTGGTAGAGCTGGTCAGTTAGAAACAGCTTTTAACTTCATCAAAACCATGCCAATTCAGCCTGATGCATCTATTTGGGGAGCTCTTCTCAGCGCTTGTAGAGTACATGGAAACGTAGACTTGGGAAAGATTGCTTCAGAGCGTTTGTTTGAAGTTGAACCTGAGCATGTAGGGTATCATGTCTTACTCTCAAACATGTACGCTAGTGCTGGAAAATGGGAAGGAGTTGATGAGATACGTGGCAAGGGTTTGAGGAAGACACCAGGTTGGAGCTCAATGGAAGTAAACAACAGAGTGGAAGTGTTCTACACTGGGAACCAAACACATCCCATGTGTGAGGAGATTTACAAGGAGTTAACGTTGTTACATGAGAAGATGAAGATGCTTGGGTATGTACCGGACCATAGGTTTGTGCTGCAGGATGTTGAGGACGATGAGAAAGAGCATATACTAATGAGTCATAGTGAAAGGTTGGCTATTGCGTTTGCACTTATTACCACTCCTCCAAAGACAAGGATTCAGATTTTTAAGAATCTGAGAGTGTGTAGTGATTGTCATAGTGTTACTAAGTTTATTTCGAGGATTACTGAGAGGGAGATTGTGGTTAGAGATTCAAACCGGTTTCATCATTTCAAGGATGGAGTCTGCTCTTGTGGTGATTACTGGTGATTAACCGGCAATTCAGTTGAGTGTTTGTCACTAGTTAGAGCCTAAGTGTAGATATATGAGATTTAGGACTTTAATACATTGTTGTTGTATGAGGCTTTTTATTTATTTTGGGCTGCTCTGTGGGATCAGACATTTTTCAAATTGTTTGTCTTTTTTTTTTTTACAACTTTTTCAAAATCATGCGGTATTGGTTCAATGCAAAATTTAATGCTATTTGTTATTTTTGACCATTTACATTTTTATAAAATAATTTTCATTGGTTGATAAAATATAATTGCATCCATAACTTATATATGATCTTAGCTTTTATATAATTTTATTTAAACATGTGTATATTATCTATTTTAATTAGTTTTTAAATAAAACAAAAATGTTGCTGCGTTTTTTTTTTGCCGCCCAAAAAATCACTGATGTAGCAGGGATATAAGTTGCCAAATACCAATAACTCCAAAGCATATGGTCAGGGTCGGCTCAGAAGATAAGTGATTTAAACCAATGTTTAAGACATTCAATACGAAAGGAATAAATGTTTATTAAATTTATTATCATAAATTATATCAAAAGTTAATAGTAATAATTGTAAGTTCTTAGTATATATTTATGACTTTTATCAACAAATTTATTGATCAAAAATATTGTTAATTTATTATTATTTATTATATTCTATAAATTTTATGTTAATTGAAAATTTCAATAAATATATTTTTATTTACGAAGAAATATTTTTACTATTATATAATTCTTTCTTATTGTTTTTATTTATTACTATTATTTGGTATTAATAAATTATTATTTTAATATTTAACGATTATATAGAATTAACTACAATCTCAAAATAAAATTATTATCATATCACTAACTTGATAGATTTAAACTTTTAAAAATGTATTTGTGTTATTTTAAAAATATAAAAAGAGGCTTTTTTATTTTTTTGCTTAAGGCATACTGTATTTTTGTGTGTGTTTTTTTTCACAGTTCCAAGGGTATTTTACCATTGCTTGGTTAATAATGCATATGCTTAGACGTATCACTTTTAAACTTTCTTAATCACACTGTCCAAAGTTGAAGATGACTACTTCTACAGAAGTATCTAAGATTATGGTTAATCTAGGGTTCTTAGGATGAGGTTTTTAAAGTTTTTATTCAAGAACCGATTTTTACTTTTTTAGTTAAAAATTAAGTAACAGTTTCTTAAATTCTGCTGGGAACGTTATTCTAAGAACTTCGAATTAATCAGGCTGTATAACTGATGATTGAGAAAACATTGAAAAGTAAGTTTTTTTTTTTTTGAAAAGTAAGTTATATTTAATTTATTAATATAGAGAAAATGGTGAGCTATCAGCGTAATAAGATGGTTAAATGAATGGTAAATGTTTTATACTAATGTGGATGATCTGATCATTTGGTGTTACATATTGCGATGTGCTTCTATAAATTGATATTTTTTCTTGATTTTTTTTGTTTAGGTGGAAGCCTTGAAAACTTTAAAAAAGCAACGTAAAGGTGAATAATCTTCAATCGGATCGAGTGGCTAAATATTTATGATTCGAATGAAATAAAATTTGGCTTATCCCACTGTATAGTTTTTACGAAAATGCAATTGGTTAAGGGAAAAGAAAACAAGAAAACATTGGTTTGACAGATCACCTAACACCAAATATACCAAACAGTAATATATTTCTATAATGGTTTTTGTCCCATCAACAAAAGATCAAAACAGAGGTTACAACATCCCCAATCAAACCCTCAATAAGTTGTACGGACAATCAGATGTAACGCAATGTCTTGTCTGTACTCTTAACTCTGCGTCACTCTTCATTCTTCAGTTTTAAAGAAAATAGTAAAACTCTTCCAGTCACCTAACAACTAAAATGTAATTTATCAGCTAAGTAACGAGAACCCAGTTCAATAACATTGGGTATCTGAAAACTATATCTTTATTATTAAATTAAAATTGTAGCATCAAGTTGAATAGTATTGTTAAACTTTATTTCTGAATTATAAACATACTAAAAAACTGCCGAGGAACTACGTGCTTATTGCTACTTGCGTTACGTGAGGTAAGGTGTTATATATTTGATCCTTGCTTCATTATTCTCAAAATTAAAGATTTTGAATTCTAAATAAGTTGTAACCACATACAAAATATATTTTTATAACAATATGAAAGCTGCTTTGTCATGTTTTGTTTTATGCCTACTCTCATAAATCGGTGCCTTCTGAATCCTTTTTTTTTGCCAAAGATGTCTTCTGAATTCATATTTGTTGTCGGCCACCTTTATACTTCTTTTCCTAATGGTTTCACTATATATGCAACATCTTAAATAACGTAACTCGGTATTATACATCTGAAGATTCTGAACCAATTATATAACTGGAACTAATCTATGTTCTTGATTCTCACTCTTTTACATCAAATTATATTCGCGTAAGAATGATAATAATATGCAAAGACAGGGTGGAAAATTTTCAAATTATGCCAGACAGCGAAGTTAATCCTCAAGAATGTAGTAAATAACTTGTATGTACATTAATCTAATCGAAATCCATAACAGGTGACATACAAAAATGGCAAATGACTAGGGATCCACAAGACTCATGGGAATATATAATAAATGTTACCGTACGAATTTGCATGACATCATATCCTTGTTTTAATTGGATGGTTGAGAGTACGTAGTAGTAAAGTGATATTATCATCTCTTTCGTTTTAATTTCTTCTCGAAGAGATAACAAAGAATATTATGAGAATATGAGATTCTTTACCAAAAAAAAATATAATGAAATTCCTACACCATTTACCATTTAGCATATATCTCTGTGGCTACGTACGTTGCGTTGGTCCTTTCAGTTCACTTCCAATGATTCCTCCAGTTAATCAAAATCAATAGAAGCCGTTGGTCGCACCGCCATTGGAACGGTGGCTCAAAAGGCTTCTTATTAGACCATGCATGGTTCCTAGACGTTTTTCTTTATACCAAAATGCATTACATATAGATACTTTGGTTAAGAATATGCATTATTGTTTGCCTATAAAGTATATGAAATGTTTTTATATGTTTACAGAACCCATGTACTACAAGGATGTATTTATCAATCAATGTTTTACTCTACACTAACCTAGACGTTTTAAGTCATTTCAGTTCTCACACGTGGCATCCTACCAGTTGTCAGGTTTGCTACGTTCAAAAGGACAACACGAAATGGAAAAATTCCATCTAAAAGAAGAAAAATTCTCCCCAATCTTCATTACTTTTTAATAGATTCAACACGAAATGCGTTTTAAAATGTTAAATTTGGTTTCATCGATCTATCTCTTTGTTCATCTGCCACCGATATGGCATCAACTCCACTTAATTATAATGAGAAAATATCGCCCTCGATTATAATTTACTATATGAATAACTATATTGCATCATTAATTTATTAAAAAGCAGTTAACAACTCTTATCCAGTACTGACTAACGGAAATTACATAACATCTACATTTCTAAGGACACTTCTCAAAATAAGGTTTTCAACTATCATTTTATTTCTATAACAAAAAAAAAAGTTGAAGAAAGAACGAACAAATAAATAATGTTACGAATACATGGATTATGGTTGAGATTTTAGATTAGGATTATTATATTTATTTAGGGAATTAAACATACTCTTCGATACCTTGAAGTGCTAAAATATGAAGTTCATATTTGAGCAGCTAATACAAAATACATATACCAGAATAATTTGATGTATATGTAATTTTCCTATAACATAAAGTAAATGATATATGACAATGACTGATATATACAATTATAGGAGACGATAAAGAAAAGAAAAGAAAAAGAATATTACTATAAATTAATAAATTATATTTATATAAAAGACTAGTTTTAAAATTGTGTAAATTATTTAAGGCATGATTGGTACTCTTGATGATAGAACTACTGTATCTTGATGTAAATTGTATATCAGGATAAATTGTGTAAATTATTTAATACTACTGATGTACTCTTGATGTAAACTACTCTTGATGTAAATTGTATATCTTAATTACAGTATATTTATCTTGATGTAAATTCGCCCCAATCTTCATCACTTCAATAACGTACTCTTGCTACTAATCAGGATAAATAGTATGGTGTATGTTATTGAAGTTATAAAATATACTGTAACTAAGATATACATTTTAAGTGATTAACTGGGTTCAAATTATTATATTTAACCTTGTAAAAAATATTATATGCGTCTTCATGCACAGTGTATTTATAATTATATTATTATTTTTTTGGACAACTTATTTATATTATATTTATTATAACATTTTTTTATGATTTGACTATGTTGTATTTATATTATTTTACAGAATTAATAGAAAACCAACTAATGGTAAATCTTTCTAAGATAGAAAACTTAAACTTCTACATAAATATAATGCTTTGATACTATATACAAAATAAATTCATATGAAAATCAGTTTAGAATACTTGAATATTATACAAGTCATTGTGTGCCAAAAATATTTGTAATTTCAAATACTTTATAAAAATTTAGCAAAAACATACTACTCTTTTAAAATCTTATCGGTCAAGCTCTTGTCAGTGGGGACTACGTAGCTTTATTCGGAAAAGGGTCGTAGACCACTGTTGACCGTCATATTGATAAGATGAAAATATAGTGTAAACTATAATAATAACAATAATGTATATTTGTTTTTTGGGGTCAGAATATACCTTTATTTTTTATGAGAACTTTTTGTTAAAATTTAAAATAAAAAGAACCTAATACTGAAAGTAAAAGTCATCAGTCATGAAGAACAGTGTTTCTTTAGAAAATGTTCAACAGTAATATCTATAAAATTGTAAATTGGATAACATGGTTATATTAAGTTATGGTAAAATATACTTCCTCTGTTCCTAAAAGATAGATTTTCTAGTGTTTTCATATATATTAAGAAAACACATTAAATCAATATATGTGTGAAAACACATTAAATCACTATGATTTTCAGTAATTTTCAATTTTCAACAATTTTTAGCCAATAGTAATCTAATAAAACCAATTAATTTTTTAAAAACTTGTAATTTTCTCATAAAAACATAGAATATACATTATAAAAAATATATAATATACATCTTTTTGAAACAAAATATTTGTGCAGAACATTAATCTGTATAGGTTCGTCTATCAGATATTTTTATAATCGTTGGATATTTGTTATAATTAAAAATAATACCCGCGGCC